ATGTCGTACGGCAAGAGAAAAAACGACTAATTGGATCGGCGGATCAACAGGCTGGCAAGAGCGCTCACAAGACCGAATTGTGGCTGGGCATCCGATCCAAGGTTTGTGGAAGACATATCCCTGTCCAGAGACGCATGTTGGAAGAATCTCGATCAACTCTTGACCGTACCCTTGACGAGATCATCAACTTTCAAGTGAAGGGTGAGAGCGAAGCAGGAAAACCACCATATGAACAAGTCAAAGATATGGTGGCCAAGATTGAGATGTGTGAGAATCTATACCCTTCTTGGGCTTCACTCGCAGCAGAGCACAAGGCAGCAGACTCTGCCACATTCAAAGAAGCCCATGATGCCATTATATCGTGGTACAACACTAACGAAATGATCAACACGGAACTGAATATCCTGAGGAAGTGGGTTGGAAACGATGAGCTCGATTTTACACGGACTAAGCAGCGATCGCCAGCTGTAAACGGTATTAGCAACGACGAAACGTCCTTCCTTGACCGGCTAATGAAAGAAGACGGACTTCAATCCCTTTACAACGACGACAATGGGAACCTAGAAAAGGGAATGCTTGCACCCATATCCACCGTCATTAGCAAGGCGAAGGACACTCTTATTAGGAATTCCGAGCCGTTCCGCAAACGTCACCTCCCACCATATCTTGAAGAGCTTCTTACTCTGATCAGCTTCCCTTCGCGTCTCATCGAAGAGATCACCCGTACACGTCTTGCTTATGCTAGGAGAGTTAAAGAATCTGCCCAGCAAAACCCTCTCATGCAAGATCAAATGATCTCCCAATTTCAGCTTCTGCTCAAATTTGCCATTCGAATCAAGATTGAGTGCACATCCATTGCGCACCCGGAACCAGGCTGGGATCTACCACCTTGCATCGACGAATCTTTCGACCAAGTTGTACTGGAAGCATTGAAGTATTACTTCAAGATGCTAAACTGGAAGCTGAGCGGAAACAAGAATACTTTCAAGGAAGCAGAACTTTTGTTCCAAGAATGGGATTTTGCCAACGAAATTGGTAGCCATTTGCAGCGAGGCCACATTGAAGTTGCGGAGCAGTTTAGCTCACTCACATTCAAGGCTCTCAACAGACTCAGCCAGACTTTCGAAAAGGAGTTGCAAGCAAAGCCCAAGGAAACCGCATCGGAGATGAGCAAGCGTTATAAGGCTTGTCTCGATTCCGTACGAGTCCGTCAGCGGATGCTTCAGCGATTTACTCGAATGCTGAACGACAACTACGAGCACGCATCCGACTATAGCATTTCCTTCACACCAGAGACCATGCAAAAGTTCTACGACCAATTGGTGGCTTCAGGTCACTTTCAAGTCGACACTCGTTTGCTTGAGCAGGACAACACATATGTTATCGCATCGCCCGAGTTACGGGAGAGGCTGGAAGATATACCTGCTATGACAGCCATTACATCCAAGGACCAGTTTCCCGACGAGCTCGGCGAGCAATATCTCCTCATTCTCCGACCAGAGGATCCCATTAATTGGTTTGGCGAAGTGATCGAAGTACCCTTGCGCGACCTGAACCTCGACCTAAAGCGAGGACACATACGCCTCTGCGCTGCTAGTCCCCAGACCCTACACAACGCGCGGAGGGCATTCCTTGACGCTGTCGATATGCATGTTGACCTCGTGCAGGAATCGAGGTCCAACATCCACAAAGTCAACTCAAGATTGACAGAAACGAGGCGGGTGGCATACAAGCTTTCAAATACCTTCATGGACAGTGTGGAAATCATCAGAAAACAGGCTCGGGGAAAGGACTGCCAAGAACTTATTCAAACATGCTTCGTATTCGCCACGGAGTTTGGCCAGCGTTCGTTGCTCTACATGGATAGCAACAGACGACAAATGAACAATCTCAAGTTAACCAAACTTGCCCTCGATTGGGTGAGCTTCATCTGCGACGACTGTGTTGCATCTGACCGAAAGACCTTTCGATGGGCCGTCCTCGCGCTTGAGTTGGCCATGGGCATGACACGAGGACGCCACATTCTTGCGCTAGGCGAGGATGAATATGCCAAGCTTCGTTCCAAGGTCGCAGGTTGCATGTCTCTTCTCATTTCTCACTTTGATATCATGGGCGCTAGATCGAACCTTGCGGCACAGGCCGAGAAAGAACGAATCGAAGCGTTAGTGGGACAGTTCCGCAAGCTTGACAAGAACCGAATGTTGAACGACGAAGAGGCTTCACGATTCATCACTGAACAGCGTATGGAGGAGCTCGAAAGGGTGGATGAGTACAGACGTGAGAAGGTTGCAGAGAGACAGGGAGTTGGAAGAGTACTGGAAGGTAATAATGAAGTCGACCGATCGTTGGCATACCTTTCATCGTCGGCCACCAATGTTACGATGCGCTGGCAGCAAGGCCAATTTGTGGGAGGCGGCACGTTTGGCAACGTCTATGCAGCAATGAACCTTGACACGGGCCATCTGATGGCCGTCAAGGAAATTCGACTTCAGGATCCCAAGCTTATCCCACAGATCGCCGAGCAAATTAGAGAGGAGATGGGCGTATTGGAAGTATTGGATCATCCCAATGTGGTATCATACTATGGCATCGAAGTGCACCGAGACCGAGTGTACATTTTCATGGAATTTTGTTCGGGAGGATCTTTGGCCAGTCTCCTGGAACATGGTCGAATCGAAGACGAGCAGGTCATCATGGTATATGCGCTTCAACTACTCGAGGGCCTTGTCTACTTGCATGAGAGCGGCATTGCCCACCGAGACATCAAGCCCGAAAGTAAGTGGTGTATCTTGTATCCCCAGAGTTGCTGAAACTAACAAAGTCGCAGATATTCTACTCGACCATAACGGAATCATCAAGTATGTGGACTTTGGCGCCGCCAAGGTAATTGCTCGACAAGGCCGCACACTTGCTGGCGAGAAGCAAGCATCAATGCCAAACCGATCCATGACAGGAACCCCGATGTACATGTCACCTGAGGTGATCAAGGGCGAGAACCCTGGTAAGCCTGGGGCCGTCGACATTTGGTCTCTGGGTTGTGTCATTTTGGAAATGGCTACCGGAAGAAGGCCATGGGCACAACTCGACAACGAGTGGGCGATCATGTACAACATTGCGCAAGGGAACCCGCCCCAGCTGCCACCTACAGATCAGCTCAGCCCTCAGGGAATCGACTTCCTGAAGAAATGTTTCACAAGAGATCCCCGTAACCGATCGTCAGCAGTTGAGTTGTTGCAGCACGAATGGATCACGTCGATCCGAAGTCAGGTCGTGGAACCAGCAACGCCAAGCGACACAAGCTCGGCACAGTCGACGCCAACAGTCAGCTCGACATCAAGTAGGCTTGGAGGATCTGATGGGTTTTACTAGATGCCGGAATTTAGATGACATGAAAATGAATACCTACAAGAAACGCAAGTTGGGGGCAAGGATATGGAAATGATTTCGTCGGGTTCGTTCAAGCACCAGTCTATAACAGTTTGCTGGGCAGTATACATGAGCGATAAGTTTGGAGTTTCGTGCTGCTCTGTGTCATATGTACGTATTTGTAATGAGAACGGATGGCAGCAATGTAAGGAAAAGGTGCATGATGGTCATGACAGTAAGATTTAGACCATGAAGACGAGGATGCTGATAGCATCTATAATACCTATTTGGACACACACTTCATAGATAGTCTATATACTTAGTCCATATACTCTTGAACGTTAGAAATGCTACCTACCTATTATTGAAAGGAAAGAAATGATAAGGAACTTGGTATCATAGGAACCAGCCGAAGGGTCCGTCATTTCGGCGCTCAGCCCCGCATTACGGAAGTGCCCGATGCGGAGACGTCCACGATAAAGGGCCCGCCCGTGTAACGAGTGACGAGTGACACGGGATAGGATATAAGCATCAATCACCCACTGCCACAAGCCCTCTTTTCTCTTCTTCTTTCCTTTTCCTTTCCCCCCTTTTCTTCCCTTTTCTTCTCCTTTCGAGTCACATGATGGAAACCCCAGAGGCTATCTCAAAAGGCGACACACCCAAGACGGCCGAAGTCTGTTCAGCACACGGCATTACGCCGAAAGAATTCTCGGAGCTCCGTGAGCGTGCAGTTGCAGCCAAGGCCACAGCGTACTGCCCGTACAGCCAGTTCCGCGTCGGAGCAACGGTTCTCTCAAGCGAGGGTGAGCTCACGAGCGGCGCAAATGTGGAAAACGCGTCGTATCCTGTGGGAACATGTGCAGAGCGCGTGGCCCTTGGTACAGCCGTGACAAGCGGTCACCGTGGGTTCCGGGCCATCGCTGTTGCGACTGATATTGCGCCACCGGCAAGTCCATGTGGAATGTGTAGACAGTTGTGAGTTGTCACTGGGGGTGTCTTTGAGAGAGTAGACGAAGATGATGGATTTGACTAACAGGTGAGTTGTATGTTCTTGGTGATGTAGTATTCGCGAGTTTTGCACACTAGATACACCCATTATCATGTTTGATAAGAATGAGGATTTTGTGATTGCAAAGCTGCGACAGGTGAGTTGAGCTCTATTCCCTGTTCTTGAGCTGGGTTGACGGTATGTAGCTTTTGCCAATGTCTTTTGGACCTGACCAACTTCCACCTCCGGGAGCACCAGGTACAAGATAGGAGAATATCGAGACTTATTGATGTCTTGCATATTGTTGGATATGAAAGGAATCACAGCGATATCATATGAGAGCATCTGTTCCTTGCGAGCGCACCAGGAATTTGGGATACTGCATCTTCTCTTAGCCTGCCAAGGGGAGGCAAGAAAACTCAGGACCTCTTTTCTACATGACAAAATAGTCAGGTAAACTTAGTATAGACTTAGTAGACCTTTAGAGTAGTCTACTTGTTTTTGGCACCTAAGCTTGGCGTCAGAAGTTTTCTTGTTCCATGAGGCCTGCATCTGTATCTGTATCAGTGGTTAATAGACTGAGCTGCATTGATGGGCGTTCCTTGAATCGTATATAACCGGCTGATATTGGATGATTTGTGTCTGGGTCAATCCGCGGCAGTTGGTAAGGAGATGGGAGATATGAGAACGCCTACAATATATGACGGTTGAATCAATGGAGCTGAAAATGAGAACAACGTTGTAGGACATGTCATACTGTGTCTGATTGAGTCGTGAAAGAGATGATGTACATGTGATCGTCTCGACGGATGACCTGCCCCTTGTCACTTACAAGTTGCAACCATCTTACAGAACATCCCGCTTGTAAGCGGGTGCGTTATAAACTAATTCCCACGGAAGCCGAGTTTTGCGCGGTATTTCTTTACAAACCAAGAAAATCGGCATTATGTCGAGTAATGCATAGTTAGTAGTTATGCATACAGCTAGAGGCCTCCTTTTGCTTCTTGTGTTTATACGATGAGCCACCTTTCAGCTTGGAAAACAACGACGAATGAACACACGAAAATGCTCTATTGCTTCAGGTCAGAGCTGATACGAGAAAAGTATGGGCAACGGCATCGGAGCATTCTGTTGGCGGGAGCTAAATATGGAACTGTCATGCAGTAGCGCAAGGTCCCTGAGATTAGGACCAAAGATGAGGAATCTGGGGTCGAGAGCAATGAGTGTTTGTTGGGAAGTGGAATTTTATCCGAGTCAAGAGAGTCAAAACGTAGATGAACTGGGGCTGTCAACATATATGGTTGCTGGTTCAACCTCGAGCGTGAATAGTATCTCTCTTCACTGCATTCACAGATCATCACTTCGCATTGGGCAACTCTCTAGACACGACGTCATGGCGACTCAGGGCAGACATTCCTCCAGGTTTAGCGCCCAAGCTATGATATTACACCCAATGAGCTGGGCATCCTCGTTGTGGCCATCCCTCAGCCCTGAGCCATCACTCACCATCCCTGTGCAAGGGTCTCGCCAGGATCAAGGCGTAAGGGCGCACTCACCAGTCAGAGTTCAAGTTCAGGCGTCAAGCGTTAAGGTGAGTGAGAGCTGGTTGGTTAACGGTCATTGGACTCTTGACTGACTCGGTACCTTTGAGAACAAATTGAGTGGCTATTGGCTTTCCGATTCAGGACGAACGACCATTAGTAGCGAGCTGAGCAGCGCTAAGCTCAAGGAAATGTAATGCAATGCTCGTTTGCCACGATAGCTCAGTGAATAAAGACTGCATGGGCAGGAATGGGATTGGCCAACTTTATCTAAGCCTCCTAGGTACAGACAGACCGACTTGCAATTGATGGTGCAGCGGGCAGCACGCTATCATGCATGCTCCACGCCATGTTCATGCTTGAGCCATTTGAGGGTTTTTATTATTCCCTCGACTCCCGTAGGTCCCAGTTGTTCATGTACAAAAGGCCTCCGGCTTCTCTCCCGCAAAGCCCAGCATGGGGCCCGGGCCTTCGGTCTCCCCCGTAAAGGCTCCACGAAGCATAAGGCCCCCGGCTCCTGAAACCCGGGCGTCGAACCTCAGTGAATAGTTCCCAGGAGAGGCGGCGTCTCATTTTGGAGGCGCGTACCATGAGTGGCTGACGGTTGAAGAGGAGCGGTTGAGCGGCTTGAACGGTCTACCGGATTAGGGACCCCAATACTGAAAGTGGCAGAGTATTCATCTTATTCGAGATCTAATGTTGGTGTCACGTTCTGGAAGGGCGGTGTCAAGTGTTGAGGACCGCTAGTCTGGGACGATCTCTGGATCGTCTCATTGAGATACTCCGCGAGTCGTCGTCTCGTCTACTGTACCAAGACACCCGAGGCAATTCAAGCGACAAGCTCGGATAAGTTGCACGGTTCCGAATGGTTGATGATGATTATTAAGAAGGATTGGTTGCGTTGCCATCTGCATGAGCATGTTGTTGATGTGGAAACGGAATGTGATGTGACTTGAAGGGAGCGTCTTGAAGGCTGTGATTATCAAACAATGCGCATACACAACATACCCCGCGCGTCGCATTGCATCGCATGACATTGAATGTCGTGGTCTCGGGCCATTCCATTTCATGTAATAATTTGGTTGTTATTATATCTGTTCTGATTCCTTGGTAGGGAACATGGCAGTGTCAGGTATGTCAATGGGAAGCGGTGGCGTTGGCGGATGCTGTTTTGTTTTAGATTTAGAGACCCTTGTATGTAGAGACGACTAGAGATGACTACCGATTCGTTAACGTTGCAAGTATTGCAATGCCAGTTAATAAGCTTTGTCTAAAGCTGCAGCTATACGATAATGCAAATACTCTCCAAACATCCTATTGTAAACAAGACTATTACTTACCCTCTTTGTTCATTTTCTTTCATCAAAATCTCCAACCTTCAACTCTTGACCGTCACATACCCTGAACTCATCGCCCAGGCTCAAGTCCCCGCTAAGAGCCCCTAGTGGATTCGTCGCACGTTCCTCCCCAGGCCTTGGGCCCCAGAAGCCCAGGTACCCCCCACTACCTAGCGGAGGTACCTCACCGAACCATCAACCACTGGTGCTGGTGCTGGTACTGGTGGGTGCCCTGACCGTCGGAACCACGCGCCCAGTGTCACTTGGGCTCTCCCTTTACAGCCGCTGGTCTCGCTTCCATATCCATCTCTTTAGGTACATGCTCGCTTGACTCGACTCGCCTCAAATCGCTTTTCATCTTCTCTTTCAAACGCCTCCACGTTTCCTCATCTTTAAATCCTTTTCTCATTCTCCCTCTTCTTTTCCTACAAGGGCTGCTTTTCTCTTCTTTTTGCGTTGTCACCTCCATTTCAGTTGAGCCACCGCGACACCGCCTTCGAGAGCTGAGTTCGAGGTATAGGTTCCTCCGCCCTTCTCCTCTCAACCCCAACTCCAAGCTACCTTACCTTACCTACACCACCACACCTCGAGCTACAACAGCTACAAAGTATAGCCTCTCCACCTACAACAAAAAGCCGCCCATATCACCTCGGATCTATCTCAAATCTTGATCCACCCCCGCCTTTCTGCCGCGCTGAATTCAATCCCGCACTCTCTCGCCAGCTTGTGATTGCTTCACGCCCTGTTGCTGCGCCTCTTGTCAAAAGAGACCAAGAGCAAAAGCAACCCGAACTTGCAGCCGCCGGCAGAGCTTCGAAGGACCGCCGCTGACGATCAATACTACCGGGACGAATAAATCCCCCAGAAATCCACGCCATTGCTCGTCGGCCAAGGTCGTTCAAGTTTCGGGCACCACATGCCACCGTTTATCTTCTGACGAAACCGGTTGGTCTCAACTTCCATCCGTGCCGTGCCGTACCGTATCACATTGTATCGTATCTTATCCTGCCTCCACCCTCGATTACCAATTTCGAAATGGAGCCAGTTCCCGAGACAGAGCGTATGGAGGAGTTCCGTCCTACTCCTACACCTGCTCCGGCACCTGTATCTGCCTCTGCTTCTGCTTCCACATCTTTGTCTGCGTCACCCTCCGTCTCTCCAGGATTTCCATCGCTGCGACTTCAGAACCCCAACGCCTGTTCTAACCTCAGCATCGAATTGCCTCGAAAGCCGCCAAACCTGAGACGAAGCACCGACCCCAGTCCGACATCGCCAGCTTCACCATCTTGGTCTGCGACACCCTTCATTCCGTATCGACCACGCACCACTTCTCCGCTCTCAGGCGCTCATTCTAGGTCTCGTTCTACAACGAGCCTTGCGCCCCCAATGTCTCGTACTCAATCCATGCCAGGCGTCAATGGATCAGGCCATATTCTTTTTTCACCTCAGCGCCGCCCTGGAAGCCCCTCTGGATCACCTAGCAGAGTCCGAATTCCACGAAAGCCTGCCGATGAAACTTTCCCGCCAATCTCTCCAGTTCGAACTTCAGTTCTCGAACCTGAGCAAAGGCATGAACGACGAAGTACCTCTCCCATCATGGGGGTTTCCACAAGCACTCCCGCCCGACTACGACGGCCATCTTCACCTCTTCGAACCTTCACATCTTCGAGCACTGGCTCTCTAGGTACATTCCCATCAACACCATCCTCTTCAATTTCCTCGACATCCTCTTATCGAAGCTACGATGCCCTTTCTGGAAGCTATGGCACATCTTATTCGTCGGTCCCCTCCACGCCAACATCGACCAGGTCCCGAAGTCCTAGCATCTCCAGCTTGGAAACCATTCCTGACACGCCGGATGCCGAAGAAGAAGCGCTGGAAGCTGAAAGAATTGCCCAGCTCAAGGCCGACGCAGATGCTGCCGAGGGAAATGAATCCTCCGACTTGAAAGGGAAGGATGGGCAGACGCGAGGACGTACAATGGGGTTCGGCTCTAGAGACAAGCGAAAGCGTTGGAGTGTGTGCGGTGCTGAGCGAAGAGGAGATCTCGATCTTGAGACCATCTGGGAGGACTGAGCGGCATATGCCGAGGCAGGGCCAGAACCAGATGAACGATTGAGATGAAATATCTCAAGAGGGGCCACGGTGTATGATGGACCTGACTCGAGCTAGCCTGGGAAAATGCTCGATTTTACATGATTGCATCACGGGGCGGCAAGTTATTGATGATTTTTGCGGCATAAGCATATGGTTTTTGTTGTTGGTTTCTTGTTAGCTTTTTACGAAGGGCACGACGGCGATTGCGTGGCCCTCTTGATACCCATTCCTGCGCGTATGGACTGTTCGACAGGAAGAGACACGCAGACACACATACACACACTATGATTGACACACAATGATGCTACACCCACAGATCACGCCAGTTGAATTGGCTGTGAAGGGCACACTTGTACTTTACGATGAGGCGAATCGCGTGCACTTTTTGTTATCTTGATTGGACTCACTTGTTGACTTACGACTGGTTAACGTATTGATTGGCACATGTGGTCGTGCAACTTATGAAGAGTCAAATGCGCGAGATGAATAAATCGCCCTTTATCGAACCGACGACATATGAACAATAAATTATGACTATTACTATCAATCCCACCTTCACCTTGAATTTGTCTCATGTTAAGTTGTCGAGCATTAAGGTTGTCGCTGTCGCGCTCTAGGGGGTATGATCGGCAATGGAATATTCATAAATGTCTTTGATGCCCTGGCCTTGCCGACAAATTAATTGCCTCTTCCGCCCTTTGTCCCTATTGTCCCATCAAGATCGAGGCTGTTTGGTTGGTGCGAACTCCCTTGAATCGATAAAGTGTCCCCGCTTCACCGCCAAAAACGCCGCCCTTCTGTATTCAGCAAACATCCCTCTTTCAATATAGCACCCTTTCTGACATCAATTTGTTCAATATTCATCTTCAATATTCCTACCCTTTGACTTATACGAAGCTCCTGCAGAAAACCCTTGGGAAAATGAAGCCGTACTTAAGGATGATGGGATGCGTCCCAGAAATGAATATCTCACCACCAGACTCAGCATCGCTTCCACTCTCACAAACAGCCTCACATTCTCTTGGCTGCTCTCATTCTTGTCTTCAATACTCATCGAGTCTCAATCTAAAAGATGCGTCTGCCTGCAATTGTTGGTGCCGTTGGCCTTCTGGGCACGGTAGTCGAAGCTGCTCCTCGAGGTTCTTGGTTCAGTTCTGTATGAGCTCCATCACTTACACTAGTGAACACAATCTAACCATTCACAGTTCCAGCAGCGTCGAGTTGCTCGATCTCCCAACGGAAATGCCTACGATCTTCCCAGCTATACGCCTGTGAACACATACACTCCTGTCAACACTTACACGGCTCCCAAGAACACAACTACACCGACAACTCACTCGACAACCCTTGAGCCAAGCGTCCAATGCCCTTCTAACTACGTATTCGTCTCTACCAAGACTGTCGATGTCACTGTCACTGCTTCTTCCAATGGCTCTTACTACACCACTGCTGTCTGCCATGACTGCACCAAGACCTTGACAATTAGTAACACAATCTACGTGCCTCCTAGCAAGTATGCTTCTACTATTCCATACGGCGAGCAGAACACTGGATCTCCCTATCCTGCCAACTCAACCTATGCGGCGCCTTCTCAGACCAAGAATGACTATCCTTACATGAACTCAACTGTCGGATACTCTTTCTCTACGCATACTGGTTACCAGACTCCAGGCCAGAGCGCAGTCTACAGCACTGCTGATGGTTACGTCTCTCCTCCTGTTTACACGAAGCCGGTCTATACCAAGCCTGTGTACTCGGACCCTACTTATGGTAACTCCACCGGCACACAATCAGGCTATGTCCCTCCTGTGTACACCAAGCCTGTCTACTCCTCTGTTGCTTCTGGTAACGGATCAGTTCCCGTGTATACTAAGCCCGTGGACACACCAACTTACTCGGCCCCCATTTACACGAAGCCTGTCCTTCCTGGCAACTCCTCGGTTGTTGACCCTCCTGTGTACACAAAGCCAGTTGAGACTCCTAGCTATTCGGCTCCTGTCTACACCAAGCCCATCCTGCCTGGCAACTCTTCGTCTTATGATACTCCCACTTACACCAAGCCCGTCGATAGCCCCGTCTACACGCCTCCCGTCTATACCAAGCCGGCCTACTCTCAGCCTATCATCCCTGGAGATTCGTCCACTGTTGACCCCCCTGTCTACACGAAGCCTGTAGAGACTCCTACCTACACGCCTCCTGTTTACACTAAGCCAGCCTACTCTCAGCCCAGTAACTCGTCCACCGTTGTGCCACCAGTCATCCCCACGACCAGCGACGAGGCGGTCTACACCCCACCGGTCTATACCAAGCCTGCATACTCGGTCCCTGGAAACTCCTCAACCGTTGACCCTATCATCCCAACTTCCACCAGTTCTGACGATAGCCCCGTTTACACACCGCCTGTCTACACTGCTCCCCCCGTCAGCAGCGAGTCTTCTGAGTACTCTACCGTTTCCACCCCAACCAACTCGACAATCCCTCCTGTGATCTCGACAACATACCAGGATACCACCGTTCTTTCCACTTCCGAGAGCACGATCGCCAGCTCAGAAATCGAGACACCCGCTGAGACTACCACATCTGTCATTACTAGTTCAGAGATTCCCCCTGTGATCCCAACCTACCCAGCATCCGAGGACGATACTAGTACCCTGGATACAACGATCTATGGGACTGAAACCGAGACTCCCACGACAGGTACTACTGAGACGCCCTATCCCACACCATCTGGAGCCGACTACGACCAACCACGACAAGGCGGACTAGGCGCGGCTGTCAAGATTGGGCTCGGACTCAGCGCTTGAGTCAGTAACGATAATACTTCGATGACATAGCTCCTTTGTACAGACAGCATTTTTGGATTTGGAGTTGGTGGATTTTGTTTAATACCTAATTGGGGTTTCGGGAGAGTGTGACATAGATCCATACATGGAATGGTTAGGATACGGGACAGTGGTCAATACTGTTAATCTAGAGGAGGGAGTATGATGGATGATACTTCTTTTATGTACTTCGCTTCTATTTATTCGAGTTAAAAGTATAAGACGTTCTGAAAAGACTTGATATTCTTGCTCTTCGTTGTGATGCCCTAATGTAACCTGATTCGGTTGTATTTCCCTTCAATTCCTGTTCATTCACACGTCAAGAGTTTGGAACCCCAATATATAATGTAAACACGTGCAAGTTTCAATTTCTCGATCTGTTATTTGTGCCTGTCTATGATGATCTGAACAAATTGTTAGAACTAATTAGGGTACGACAAAGCTCTCCGAATCCTGTACCAAAAGGGGTAGACAACATGGAAGGTGTGAATATCATCCGCAGTGAAAATTCATTGCGGCTCCCTTTCCATCCCCAGTCTTTTTCTTCTCACAGCTTTTCTTCAATACTGCAAATAGCCATGCGAATCTTTTCTCCTTTGTACCGAGTAAGTAACGACGCTAGGTCAGTTGCAGACGACAGAAGCCTTGGCCAACACGTTTGTGGTATCATATTTCTGACCATCCGCTGTACCGGTTTTTAAGAGAATAGGAGACATGAAGAATTTGACCCGACTCTTGGAGCTAGGCTCGACCTCATGGATATCTGATTCCATGAATTCCTTGTCATATCGATTGTTGGAGTGCGACTTTTTTGCTGGTGGTTGCCATTCGATCATGAAGTACGCCTTGGAGCACATCATCATCTTGTCCAGTTCGATGGCGGATTGGACAATTTCGTTTAGCTGCTCATTGATCTTCTTTTCAGTTCTGTCAGTTCTAGCTGAGCGACGCAAAAAGAATGGTTGCAGAAGCTGAGTTTCCCACGAGACAAGTTGTTTGATGAACCCAGGATCATCATCCCAGAGCTTGCTGAACATGGTTGAGACTTGAGAAAAACATCGCGCAGCATGGGCCAAGGTAGTCAAATAGTCTGGATTCTTGCCTTTCTTTGACAAGATTTGTGCTAGGAAAATTAGTACATGAACACCATGGACAGGGCAGACATCATGCGGCACTAACAGTAAATGTCGTCTTTCGCAAGCTTCCAGGACGTTGTTTGGGAACCACCCCGAGTTAATCGATCAGACCGGTCAGGTTTGAAGATACGGTCTTCAATAAGTCCCCAGAGATAGCCCTGCATGAGGGCGTGGCTGTGGTCTTGATCCTGGAAAAGCTTCGTGTATTCAGTAGTCACGCGTCGCAATCTCGTCGTGACGGTATCGCTGAGTTCCCCAATGTCTGTTGTACGTGCCAGTATATAAGCCAGGTTGCGAATGTTGTAGGCGAGCTGCTTCCAAATGCCAAGAATGGCACTGTCTGTTGTTTTCGCAGAATTTGCGAAAGTTCCGCCTTCCAGCAACTGTCGTAGTTGGTCTATTTTGAGAAGAGCATCGCTCAGCCTGTCGTTTGTTTTGTGGAGTTCGTCACTTTGTTTCTCATAGGCGTGATCAAGTCTTTTGTACTCCTTGATGAGGTTTCTGTGATCCCCAGTGAGTCTTTGGTTATTCTGTTGCTCTTTTTCCAGGAGATCTTGGAGCGCCGCGATCTCAGATGCATCTGAGCCCTCAGTGGATGTAGAAGTGCTTCTCTGCAGCAAAGAGACAAGTTGACCAAGACTGCTCTGAGCCATTTGAATTGCTTTGGATGCTTCTTGAGGTGAAATGCTGCGGGACTTATCCAGAATGTCCGTGAGTTCTGGGCACTGCCTTTCCATGCTATCTGCCGTGGCCTTGTTGTTGCAAGAATCGGAGAGCTGAGTAGCGGCGACTTGGCTTTTGTCACCGGGACGCCCTTGAGGCCCAATCTGAGAAACTAATGGCTCTGAAGCGCCCTTGACGATGCCAGCATGATGATTCCTCGATTCAAGGAGCTGATCAACATCGAAGAATGTGGCAGGTTCTTGAGCTAAGTCATTAGAGGGACCAGACACTGAAATTTCAGAACCAGGAGGAGGTCCTAGCTTTGAATTCCGCTGTTGAGTCTCCTTCATTATCCGTAGTATGGCGAATGAAAGATGGAGAGGAGAATGGTTTGCTGTTAACGATCGTGGTGGATCAAAAGGGATGAGATACTTCAAAGTCAGATGATACTAAAAGTATCATATAAAAGACAAAGGAAGAGGTCAGTAAGGGTTAGATGCGAGTGAGTGATTGAGTGATTGTGAAGTTGTTGGGAATAGACGCATGTGCCCCTAATGCATGTGTGAAGGATAATCGGAGGAGAGAGAAGTGGAAGAAAGAGAAAAGAAACCAGGAGAATTGCTGGAGAAAGACGGGGTCCCTCTTAAAAGAATCGAGAAAGATGAAGCTGGTAGAGCGCCGTTCCCTCACAAATACCCGCCTGAACCGCTCTGGCTGGATGTGATTCACTGCCATCACCCATTAGCAGTCAGCATTATAAAACCAGGGACCTTTCTGACACGTAAGGCCTTCTTTCTTCCTCTCATCCCCTTTCCCAATTTCTTTAGCTTTCATCTTCGAGCTACCATTTAGTCTGGTATACTTGGAGCAATTCAGATTGTCCATGAGACACTCATTCTCACAAGCAACATGGAACGCATCAAGCATGGGCCAAGAAGCAGGATGACGACAAACAAGCCAGTAGACGACTTGATCATCATCGGAATCGACTTCGGAACGACGTGAGTACTGCCCCTTCAAGTCATTGGGCTCAACTCGATCAAATGGTTTTAGCTAACATGTAAACCAATCTAGCTACTCCGGGGTTGCTTGGGCGTATTCCCGACAACCTGATGATATCGAAGTTGTCACAAGCTGGGAGGCAGAGATGAGCAAATGCTCAGACCTTGAGAAAGTGCCAACTCAATTGCTCTACGATGATAAAGAAGTTGATGCTTGGGGCTATTCTATTCCTGGGGATGAGAATGGCCTCAAATGGTTCAAGCTCTTGTTACTCGAAGATTCTGACATCACAGCTGAAATGTCCAACTCGTCTCAGATTCGTGAAGCCCGCAAGTTCCTGAAGGAAACGAATGATGATGCTGTTGATGCGGTTGCAAACTTTCTGCGTGAGCTCTGGGGCCACGCCATGGAAACGTTTGTTCGCAAATTCGGACCTGAGCTGGTAGGGAGATCGAGGTTTCATGTAGTGGTCACTCTTCCAGCAATTTGGCCACCTTACGCCCAGCAGCGCATGAAGCGAGCTGCTAAGATTTCGGGTATCCTTGATAAGAGACCTTGCGGTGAAACCACGCTACACTTTATCTCGGAGCCGAAGGCAGCGGCTCTTGCAACAATTCAAGATCTCTCTCAACGTTCAACCATCAAGGTAGAGTACAAGAGAACATCCCCAAAACTTAGCTGACAACGCACCAGACAGGTGATACTCTAGTCATTTGCGATGCTGGCGGTGGAACAGTGGTATGTTTACTCTCGCTGACCATTTCCTATGCATCACTGACAAAGCTACAGGATCTCATCAGCTACGTCGTCGAGTCCACGAAACCCTTCACTGTCAAAGAGTGCGTAAAAGGCGACGGTGAGTTTCTAATAACTTGAGATACAGCCAAGTAATACAGCTGGCTAATACAACTAGGCGGCCTCTGTGGCAGCATTTTTCTCGACGAGAATTTTCTTAGACTCATCAAAAGCAAGGTCTCTTCTACATCATGGAGAAACGTCAGCAAAGCCGAGGAAAGAAGATTCCTCAACGACGAGTGGGAACACGCAATCAAACAGCAGTTCTCAGGTCAGAGTAGGAATTGGTTGGTCTCACTCCCTGATGGCTGCCGTGGAGCCTTGAGCCAGGGATCCAAAAGGCGAAGAAACATTAAGCTTAGCTCGTGAGTGCTCCAGAAAGCGGGTTTTACTAACGCAGATGGCTCCTAACATTCTTCCAGAAACGATGTTTTATCAGTGTTTACTCCCGTCGTGGACAAAATTGAGGCACTAGTTCATCGACAGATCCAGGCGATCCAGGGTAAATACGGGCAGCCAGCAAAGGTAGGCGTTGCCACTTCTTTGTGGAAGATAGCCTTTTTACTGACTTGCAAAGTATGTCATCCTCGTCGGTGGGTTTGGCCGAAGTCGGTATCTCTTCAACCAACTCAGAGCTTCGACAGGAGCTACGGTACTCCAATCCAGTGCCAATAAGCCGTAAGTGAAGTTTGTTATCCATGTGCTGTGGGTTTCATCTAATGAATGCAGATGGACTGCTATATGCCGAGGAGCAGTCGTCAATGGTATTAGCCATGTCCTTGAACCAAGCCTTGGCGTGAGAATCGACAGCAGGATCGCTCGATGCAGTTATGGGGTCTGTTTCACGGACACTTTTGTTCCCAAGAGGCACCGGATCCGTGATAAAGTGTGGTCAGAGGAGAGACAAGAATGGAGGGCTGAAAATCAGATGAAATGGTTTCTCAGAGAGGTATGGACGATGGCAGAAAGCCTCAAGTTATAAGCTGATCTCCTGAATAGGGCAACAACATCTATACCAAAAGACCAATCCGAAGCTCCTACCCTGATGACGATGAAGACACTTGCCCAATTGTGCAAGAGATCTTCAGCTGTTCGACTTCTCCGCCCCCCGAGCTCGGGGACCAACCGTGGGGAAACTGTGCGAGATCCACTGGACACGCGAGGTCAAGCTCGAAACCCTTCCGACGTGGACTAACTCGGCGGGCGAGGTCTATCGTGAGCTTGAATTCAAAATCAAGATGACATGCGATGACGGGACTGTAGACTTCGCCGTCTATTTCGAGGGCCAACGGGTTGGAGCCCGAAACATCGAGGTCAAATTTTGATGGACATGGAGAGGTGAAAAAGGCCGCTGTCATGGATGATGGCATGATGGATGGAAATGAACCGCTCTGGTAATTACCCAGACTTTTCCGAGGCAGAAGTGACGATAGTGCTGGCTTTTCACAGCTGAAATAGAATGATTGGTTCAGGTTCTAGGACCAATGACCAGTTGTGATATAAAAACTTGCGAAATGTAGTCAGGATTGCAATATAAAAGTCCATAGAATGTAGTTTAAGGTTGCAAAACTGCGATTAGACTAATACGATCAATTCATCTGGGCACCAAATACATCGGTATATCTGAGAGGCGGAGCAGTTCAGCATATGGGTAGTGTTGCGAGGATTTTCTTTTTTATTTGGCTGTAAGATGCCTGCATTATTCCTGTGGTATCATCCTATACCCCTTCCATGGTCACGTCTTCTTGTGCCAGTGGTTCCTCAGCGTGTGGTTCCTGATCCACTTTCCCGGCATCACCGTTCACCTTGTTGGTATCTCTGATGTGTCGATAAACCTTGACTGTGTTGTCCTGCCCTCCAGTCACCATTGTCTCTCCATGGACATCCACCCAGAAGCACACGCCCTTGTGGCCTTCTACTCTTTGTAAGACTGTCTTTGATACCACGTCCCACATGACGATGCTGCCATCCTCACTAGCGGATGCGATGAAAGGAGCTCCGTCCAGAACCCCGAAACAGCCGCCCACAGCGAACTTCTCGTTGATGTGGCCTTGATATGTCTTTTTGACGGTACCAGAAACATAATCCCATAGGCGAATGCAGTTGTCGAGGTTGAAAGCCAGGACGAAGCGTCCGTTGGGAGAGAAGCAAACATTAGCGACGGCCGGGTTGTCTTCATGAACAAGCGTGCGTAAGCACTGGCCTGTTGATGTGTCCCAGATACGACTATATACTTGTTAGCAAAATAAACCAGTTGAAGCTCCAGGAGTTCATACATCAAGCCATCTGTCGAGCAACTGACGACCAGCGTGCCGTCTCGAGAAAAGTCAATCCCACTAACAGGATCACTATGCGCAGGTAAACTTCGCATCTGCCTGCCTGCTCGTACGTCCCACAGAAAGACAGCTTCATCGTATGAACCACTTGCAAGGATATTGCCCTTTGGCGAGAATGCCAAACAGTGGATGTAGTTATGATGACCCTTCAACGGCCCCATTTCTTGACCGGCTACCGATTTTCGAGTTGTGGTTTTTGGTCGACCTGTAACGCGATCCCATAAACGAATGGCTTTGTCGTCTGAGCCACTTGCGATTGTGTTGCTATCAGGTGTCCACGCAAGACAGCTCACGCCTGCCATGTGCCCAACAAGCGTATCCATGTGTTCGCCCGTTGTAGCGTCCCATATCTTAATAGTAGCATCTGCCGATGCAGATGCGATGAATTTTCCATTAGGTGATATTCGGACCTGCGAGACAGGCTTGGTGTGACCATGAAGAACAAGGCGGGCACGGTAGTTGGGCTTGAAGGGTTCTGGGGGAGGAGTTGGTTCAGCCCCTCGCGCGGAGAGGGAGTCTGTTCGGGAGCGACGAAAAGACAGTTGTGATCGTGAGCGTGAGCGTGAAGAGCGGGGTGATTGTGATCGTGTTGTTAATCGGGATCGCGAGCGCGAGCGTCTACGGGAATCTATACTAGAGAGAGACCGTGACCTCAACCGTGATCTCGATCGTGATGTACGAAGGCTTTCGTAATATTTGTTTCCAGCACCATCTTCACCAGGACTCGGGCTAACAGTCCTGCTATTACGGCGATTGTCTAGTATCGATAGTTGGTGAGACTGTCTAGGCGATCGATCGTTGTCTTCGCCGTCGCGTTGCGGCGCGTATGGAGGGGAAGAGTCGCCGCTTGTTTTGCGACGCTTGTTCCGGGGCGATTCACCAGGGCGATCGTCTTCAGAGGCCATTGCAACGTGAAAATGCGGCTGATTCTTTGATGATGCTAGGCCAAGGGTGGGAGGTAGTCTGGACAAGGCTGACGAGTTTGGCGCTGGAGGGAGATTGAATGTTTGGAGGTGGGGCACGAGGCTGAGAGACGTCACCCAATGAATGCACAACGAAATGTGACAAATGACGGAACAAAGAACAGGAGATTAATGCACCTAAAAATAGGGACTAATCTTACTTGAGCCGGCGCATAAAATGAATAGTGATCAAACTTTGAAGGTAGCATTGCATGGAATTGCACTTCCTAAAATTATACCGTCGGTGACTTAAGAGTGCAATTAACTGACACGTTGTTATTGGTCAGCTCAAAAAGCCACTCCTGAAGATTCGGAAACTACCATACATAGTTTGGGGAAATGGGGGAGGAAAATCATTGGTTTGTGGAGTCAAGCAATCAACTTCCAACTTGGGCAATCCTGAGGTTCTCATCTCCGGGGAACCCAATCACAAAGTGGCATGTTTTCGGCAGTTGATGTCATTGAGGCAATCGATGGCTCAAGTTTGGGGGTAAAGTTTAACAGCTGGGGCGCTGGCAGTGGATGCTTCAGGATGCCCTATGATCTATCGACTTATTCTGTAGCATGTCAGGTAGACCCTGGGGACATTTAGTAAGAGATCAGAACCTCGTTGGTACGGTTAGAAAGAAGCTTTCGGTATCATCGCCTCTGAGACCGAGGCCAGAGGACGTCCGGTAGTTCAGCCATGGCGCCCAATCTGCGACATTCCGGGGTATTGTGTACTCGCCATTGTGCCGTGCTGAATCGAGTGCTGAACCCCTTTACCATGGAGCGCTGTGTCTAGACCGGTTCAGCTGCAGCTGCCGGTGACTGTATAGGCAATAAGAGCGCTAGGATCTAACTTTTTACATGCTATTGGAAGCGGTCAAGAGTCTCGATGCTGAGATGCAATGGTCAACTCTGGGAAAGGGGGATATTGAATCTGCAGCCACTACTTTCGGTTCAATTCAGGCTATTGATCGCGTGCCGCGCCGTTTACCATGAATAAATAAATAAATAAATTAACCCGTGCCGTCCCTGAAGTGTCCCCTTTTGTTGTTTTGACTCAATTCAGGAAATAGTGGGGTACTCTGCCTGCGGCATGAATTACATTCAAACTGGTTCAGTACTAATGTACTGTCGCGGCTGAAACTAGCGATTGGGGGCTATCGTGGCTTTTTTTGCTTATTCCCAGTGTTGTCTTTCATGAAATCATCCCTTGTGTGTCAGTTTCGTAACCTGAGTGCAAATCCATGCCAAGCGCCCAAGTTATCAGACATTCCGCGACCGACATGGCCATGAGACGGTTACTCATAGACTTGCCAACATTCCGATGGTATGACTAGACCATTATGTCTATTTCAAGTTTTTCATTCTCACGTGAAAGCTTCTTCAATATCGAAAACATCGATCTGATCGTACAGAGGCGCTCTGGGCATCGCGATCTTAGCAATCTTAGGTCTTGGCCACCAGTCGGAACAATTTCTGGAAACGTGACAGTGAAGTTACCCAAATTGCTGGTGCATTTTGGCAATAATAGTGCAATGTGGCGTAGGTAACCTCCGTTAGTCAAGATAGGGGAGCTGCTATTAAGCGTTAAGCATATCGTCCATAGTGACATGGAGGCAACGCTATGGTTGTCGCCAGCACTACTCCTCAGCTGTGGCTGTTTGGGGTCGACGCCGTTCTGCCAACCGTTTGACCAAAGGCGGTTCTGGCGTCTGCATTTGATTCGTTGAAAATTGCTTGATTTAATTGCATGTAGTTGACATTGTGTATTGAGATGTTGATAGGTGATTCAGTGCTGTTCAAAGAGATCGGTGTGATGTCCCTGACACTCTAATTCGTTATTCAACTTTAACACACTATTGGAAATTAGACTTGCAACCTGCAAGGCTTCCATAATGTAATATTCAGCACACACCTCTTAGAGCACGTCATTCTCGTGCCTGCTGAATTGAGACTCACCGTCCATTTTCGAGGCAAAGCTTCCAGGAGTATCGCAGATTAGATGCGGCGTAGCTATCGGTTCCATTGGTGGATGGAGTCAGCAACCAACAGCCAAAAGGTTCTGGCGTCAGCGCATTATCGAAGCGGAGTGGGCGAGAGGGTCCTTGAACAAGGGGCCAGTAGATGAGTTGACCCATATTCATCATGGGGCTAGAAACGCATTGGCCATGAGGGGATTATTGAGCTTGAAGCGGCTGGAATGACAGAAATCACTGGACGAAAGATGCAACGGAGTATTGTGCTGGGAGTTGTGACTCGGCTATGGAACTCTCACCGAAGCGATCTCGCATAGATGAATTAATCATATTGTCTTTAGGGGACATGTGCATGTTTGTTTACTTTATTTCTCATGCAGAGACCTGTTGGTCGTGTGCTCGAGACGAGCAGCTAAATTACTCCGTGAACCATCGCCAACAACAATGCCGGCAGATCGGAAATGGTGCCATAATGCCCTGTGATCGTTTCAACGGTTCAATTTCCTTTAACTTCAACGTCACAAACGATCGTCAAGCAGCACATACCACGTAGTATCGTGAGTTTAGGTATACCAGCAGGCTTTTGTTAGTCACTGGAGCCGTTGTGCGCCGAACTCGCCTATTTGATACCTATCAAGAGGTCCATGCCAAGCCAGCACAGGAATAAGCAGCCCTACGAGAGCCACAGCGGCTACACAAGGCCTGTAGGAGATTGTTTCTTGAGCAAGCCCAGTTCATTGAAAGAAACGGCATGGAAACTATTTGGTGTGGCAGACTGTTCAAATCTTACTGTAAGCCTATGGGAAATTATTCGCTGATCAACACTAAGCTGGGCAAGTTGCATTAAGATATCAACCAGCATCAAGCTTGAATACTAGAGTAGAGTTTTATAGGAGCTTATACGGAACTCTAAGTCATCCGCTGTACCTTTTCGGGGACTCCCCCATTCGGTAAGTAATCCAGTATAGCAGGCTGTGGAAACAGAGCCTGGTTTATAGCCAATACAATGGATGCGTTTTATGAGGCAGTTGTCAACCCGGCCCAGAGTTTAGCTGAAGCGTTTCATCTGCAACTCTATACCAGGGACAAGAGATTCCATAGAATTTCTGTCAGCAGTATTATCTGAAGACAGAACGTCTGTTTCGGATAGGGTTTTGTCCTGTCATACTGACTTGTTTGCCCTATTATGCTTCCAATATTGCAAGAGGGTTTTGACGCTGACGTAAAATGTCGCACAAGAAAAAAGCAGGGAAAAGCACAGATGTCGTTCCAAACCTGCCAAGAGCTGGAATGCAAGACAACAAGTCAAGAAAGACAGCAAGCGAATGCACTGAAAAGGGTCTCGATTACAACGTCTGCAAGCGACGATAACTAGAGACAAGAATAGCCATATCATCTCGGGGCACGGCGATCAGACCCGGAAACCGGCTTCTCACCCCTGAGACCCTGGGGTTGAAATCCTGGGTAATCTTGTTAGGAAGAGGTCTCGATGAGTACTGAGCATGGGTCATGAGTCGGCAAAAAGATCAGTCAGTGCCAATCAGCGAGAGGAAAGGAGTTAGAAGAGAACCAACAGGCGGCCTAATTCAATGCAAAGCAGGGGTCTCCGAATCGCCGACATGTGCGCCCCAGCCTGTAGCCAATCGACAGAACCTCGCCCACTCAAGTTTAATTACATCCATCTTTTCGGACGAATGCTGACAAGGGGATATTTGCCTACAGGAGCAAGTGCGCGGGTGCATTTACTGCAGTACAACAAATGCAACAGTGTTGATTCCAGGTATTATCTCGGCCTCATGGTCCGACCTGTTCAGACAGTCCACAGCAGGGCCCTCTAAAGATAGGGCCCGCATACCTATTAGCGATTGAGACGGTAAGACGGAACGGACAAGACATGGCATGGCCAGAGACATGTTAGCAGAGATTGCTCCAGATTCAGATTCGCAATCGGTCACCAGGGGAAATAAACCACGGACATTCTGTTCTGGGTGTTCATGGAACAACTCAATGGCGTATCATGCTGGCAATCCATTGGAGGATTCCCCTGACTAATTCTGGTGGTAGATGAACTGCTAACCGTGATTGGTCTGGACCGGATTGTCCAGCGGCTTGAATGGATTTCGTGAGACCTATGGGCGAAGAATCCTTGAGACTCGCTTCCAAAGGATTTCAGTGCAGTTTCTGTGACTGGTGCGCAGTAGAAGGGCTGTTCAGGGTGCATTAACAAACACTGCCAATTAGCGAACCGCATTGTCTGTGAGTCTTAAGATTCAATGCCCTGTCGCGCCGACTTTAGAGCCTGCCCCTGGACTAGTTCCGCTAGCCGTTGAACACGCGCCTTCACCGACCAACAGTGTTTTGTGGGGAGGCTCCCCAATATTGGTTGTGCTTTTGGTTGCCTTCTGTGTCCTAAGTTGTCGTGCTACCTACCTACCTGCAAGCGCCGACTCAGGAACAGCCAGGTGCAGCTAACTCCTGTAAGGTACGGGCTGGGCTGGAGGGTGTGGTGGGTATCTCAGGCACACAAAGGTCATCCCAGTGGAGGGCCAGCATGGTACCTGCCTTAGCGTTCCCTTGGCGCTCAATGGTCCCGCAGGGGTTGGCCCAACCTGGAAACTCTGGAAGGTGTTTTGGAGGTACGTACCGTGATTCCCCACCCCTGTCGTGCTCTGATGGCACACCCAGTCCCCCTCTGGCATTTATCACAAAACCCCAGCTTGATCCTCTGCTTCTTCTTGTTTTTTTCTCTCTCTTCACCACCACCTTCATACCAGTCACTCTTTTCGGCTTTCAGCCCACCACACTCTTTTTTATACTTAATAATTTTAGGTTGCTTTACAGCTCCCTATTATCCAACCCCGTCTCTCTTTTCCTCCGATACAATTACTATATACCGTAATTCCTAAATCCAGCCTTCAAGATGCAGTTCACCATCTCCGCCGCTGCCCTCATGGCCTTCGCCGCCAAGGCCCTCGCCCAGGTCGCCGACTTCGACCCCGTTCTCACTCCCACCAACTGGGAGGAGGTCTCCGCTGGCAAGACCCTCGAGATCACCTGGCAGGCCAAGCCCAAGTACTCCGGCGAGAAGATCTCCATCTCTCTGATCGGTGGTGCTACCCAGAACACCCAGGTCCCCATCAAGACCATTGCCAGTGAGTAGCGACGGAGACAGGATGTTCGATCGGATTCACTAACAGATCCTTAGCTGGCATTGACAACGACGCTGCTTCTTACAGCTGGGCCATTGACTCCACCCTTGGAACCGAGAACGTCTACGGTCTCGTCCTCAAGCTCGAGAGCAACCCCGAGGTTTTCCAGTACTCTTTCCCCTTCAAGATTGAGGGTGCCAAGAAGTCCGAGGAGAAGCCCTCTCAGACCAAGAACGACTACGAGGTTCCCTCTGCTGTCGCTCCTAAGCCTACCAAGCCCGCTTACCCCGTCCCTGAGACCACCGTCGTTGCTGTTTCCGAGACCGTCACCGTCCCTTGCAACAACACTGCTGGTTCTCCCACCACCTTCGTCCCCGTTGTCAAGACCCACTACCCTGCTCCTCCTGCTCCCCCTGCCCACAACGGCACTGCTCCCAACCCTCCCGTCTACACCCACCCTGCTCAGCCTCCTGTTGTTCCCACTCAGCCCGCTGGTCAGCCTCCCGTCTACGGCCAGCCCACCCCTACTCCCGTCCCCGTCTCTGGTGCTGCCCGCTTCGGCGCTCCCATTGCCGTTGTTGCTGGTCTCGTCATGGCCGCTTTCGCTCTGTAAGCGAGGCCGCGCACCAATTTAATCTTTGGTTCCTGCGTGGCGTCATGACTTCATGACTGCATTTTAGAGGGTTTCTCGTTTCTTCAGGTATGGAGCAGTCTGGGTATATCAGGCCTTTGCGCACATACGTTGCTTCTTTTGTTGGTATCTACGAGTTGGAAGGTTTTCTGGATTGTTAATGTATTGAGGAAAAACTATAAAACCCACTTGGGTTATTTGTCTTGATCAAGTTCCCCTGATGTAGCTGCCATGTGTTCCTTCGCCGCTACGTCTAATAGACATATGACCCAGCTTTTGTTTTCCCAAGAGATTCCTGTCAATTAGTGTTATTGCTACAATACCCATTTCTTTCTAACACTGGACTACGATTTGTATTTAACTGTGATTAGTGATGTTGCTAGTTTGTTCGTATTGACATGAAGATTATCGTAGGATGAAACTACCAGGATATAACCTTGCATATGCATTTTTGGGGTGGTACTGAGTTACTCTAACCTACACTGCAGACCGGGTTCTTTGGACATAGGAAACAATTCATCTGTTTATTCTCCTCGGTTTGGACTTTCTTGTCTACTTGTCCTTGTCATGCCAGGTTCCTTTCTCATCTTGCAGTAAGTTGAGATGAGTTGACCCAGTCAGTTCGCCTGACGTCGTCTCGTCTCAACCATAACGTTACCTGCACACCCATCCATTAATGAGGCCCTACAGCTGACAGGAATGTTTAGACATTGCAAAGCCGTCATTGTCCGTTTCAACCGTTACCGGGAGTGGCGGCCTTGGCATGAGCTTGAAGCCTCATCCCACCGGCCTTGGACTGGAATGCATGTGTTGTGAGAGGGTGACTAAAGATAGGTCCATGGTAGGTATTTTGTTGTTACGCCTCCCTGTTGATCAAAATGCTTGGGATGGGGCCCTTGCTGTGAATTGGTGCAAGGGATACAGGTTTGTTGGCTTACAATTGAAGCTGTGTAGAGATAAAAGGCCATTTCATGGTATGTTCCACTTCCAAGCATGACAAGACATTTCAATCGTATGAGAATCATGGCAATGGAGACCTCTTTATAAGAAACACATGCCAAGTCTCGTTGTCAAGTTGATCCAGTAACAGCGACACATAAAAACTTGGCGTGTAGTTGATTGCGTACGCAGGTCTCACATTCGTGCTCCGTCTCACAACTTCTCAATGGAGAGACATGAAAAAAAGCCCGTTTTCCACCCTGTGCTACTGTAGCGCGCCTCTTGTCTTTCTGTCAAACTGGCGCGGCGTTTGTGGCTTCTGATCGACAGGAACATCAAATGTTTCATTGCGCACGTCATTTGGTCTTGGTTAAAGTGAAGGGCAATTGATCGGCGGCCATCAAGTGCTGGTCGCGGGTGATACAAAGACCATCATAATGAATGTCGCTGTACAATTTGATGAGAATATTGAAAGGCTGAGCTCATTATATGTGCCACTTCACTTCAAGCACGGTGAAATCACATCAAAAACATACTGCTTCGAAGTTGTTTAATTATAATCCAATAATATTCGTGAAATAAATCTCGCATCGAGTCTGATGCGGCGGGATATCCTGTCTGTCCCATACCAATTCCATCTATCCCAACGATAGTTTAACCATTCCCAAATCGTGACCAATTCCAGTGCGCGCCCGCTCGCCGTTTAAACCAGTTAACAAGTTCATAAAACACCCATCTATCCCATTTGTATTTTTCCCTTTTCCAATACTGCAATTCTGCCCTTAGTGGCCACCAATCTGGCCCTTGGGCAGAGGAGGAATCCAGCAAACCGCCAAGTTCAGAGCGATGGTAATAATACCAATGACCCAGAGACCCATGGCATAGTCGTTGCCGCCGTGCATGAAGCGGAAGACAATGGCGAAGATGACACCACCAATGTTACCACCACCGCCAGTCAGACCAGAGAGGATACCGTTGGCAGAAGGATGGACGTGGGGAACAAGGGCAAAGTTGGCACCGTTACCAGCCTCAATGAAAATGGCCATGACCACGACGAGACCAACCAAGGTACCAATGTCGCCGCCGTTGGCCTCGGAGGGGTTGACCTTTCCGATGACAATGAGAAGAGCACCAGTCAACACACCACAAACGACGATCCAGGCTTTCTTGAGCCAGAGGTTACGTCCGCACTTGTTGTAGATGATGTCGGCAATGACTCCACCAAGAGGTCGGTTAAGGAAGTTGAGGAAACCGAAGATAGCAGCGTAGTTGCTAGCCTTGGTCTGGTCGAGGTGGGGGAAGTTCTTCTTGAAGTAGGAGCTCAGAATAGCGTTGATAGCAAGCTCACCGCCGAAGGAGCATGCATAGGTGGCGACGTGGAAGATAGTCTGAGGAGAGTAGCAGACAGGAAGGGCATCACGAAGAGTTGGCTTGACAATGACCTCGCCTCGGGCGAACTCCATGGCCTCGTTGCGTGAGATGGGGTGCTCGTGGTCGCCAACCTTGACATCCCTCTCCTCACCAGGGCTCTTCTCCTCATCTGAACCGCAGCGGTCAGGTGTACCGACGGGGGTAACGTCACCAGAGCTGGACATTCCATGAGCCTCCATATTCTTTCGGACGAGCATAGCCTGATCTTCCCATGATCCCATAGGGCTGTCAGGGCAGAGGAACAGCATTCCGAGACCGCAGACAATCAGGCAGATCAAGGGGACAATGAAGGTAACCCTCCAAGCCTTGGAAGGGGACATGCCCTGATGAGCGACCAGTGAGTCGAAGACGGCAGGCATGATGAAGTAAGTGCTATTCAGAGAGTTAGACTTTTTCTTCAATCAGTCCTCCATATCGAAGGGCTTTGAGTGTCACGAAAGGGTGTTCACTTACATTCCACCACCTGCATTACCCCAGCCACCGGCGAGGGCATTGGCAGTACCAACAACATTCTTATCGAAGAAACCGGTGCACCAAACCTGGCAAGGGACGAAAGTTGCACCGAGAATACCAATGAAGAATCGAGAGATATATAGACCAGTGGCGCTGTTGACAAGTGGTGCGAGGCCAATGGGGAGGCAGCCAAGGAGAATCAAGTAGGCAAAGACACGTCGAGGTCCATACTGATCACAAAGAGGGCCGGTCATGAATCGAAGGAAGAAAGTAGCGGATAGAGAAACGATGTTGGAGTTTGCGATTTGAGCCGGTGTAAGATGAAGATCTTCTTTGATAGTGACAGTCAATAGGGGTGGGAAGGTGTACCTAAAAATTAAGTCAGATTATCACATCACCAACATTTGGATTTTGAGACTCACCATGCCCAGAAAGCAAGCATAAAACCGAGCCATGAGAAAGAGAATACTCGACCATAAACGTTGATAGGGTTGAGCATAGGCACACTTCGTGCTTTTCGGCTGATGGGATTGACCTCAGGGGTCATCCACAGGTGGGCGATTTGAAAACCCATCTTGAACAAGCTAATTGATGAGATTGGGAAATGTCAAGACAACCAATTTGAGTCTTTTGAAAACGGCTGAAAGAATTCGTGAGAGCTAAGAGGTTTCTGTTTGTCTCTGAGTTGCTTGTTGATGTTGAGCTTGGTGAATATCTTTTTTGAAATGGACAATGCTTAGAAGATATATAGAATGAGAATATCGTGTACTCCACGACCCCAGATTGACAAGAATATCGAAAACAGTATCTCCGGATTTCCTAGATCTTTTTGTGGGAATTCGAGTTGATAAGAAGTCTATCTGGCTGTGCTGTCTCAATGAGACTGCAGTGAGTGAATAGACCAGCGATAATCCGGAGGCCCGGAGATGCTCAAACCAGATTTCTGTAAATGATTCCTCGTTAATCCGATAAGAACTGGGCTGATGACGGGGGCTAAGAGCGGCCCGTTGCAATGCAGTGTTACAGAGTCTCAGTGGCCGATAAGTTGATAACGTGGAAGCCTCCCAACGGTAACGATCGTTCTTGGCGGAACACTTGCTCTGTGATTATATATTCAGAGTTTTTTGTGAAATATCCGAGAAATATTTTGGTGTTTTAGGAAAACATGCCATGAGCCCCTGACAGCTCCTAGATAGATAACCTTAAGTGTCGAGTCGTAATCAGTCAAGCGAGCGAGAAAGGGCAGCCAATTTTCGGAACAGAATTAACCGGCAGAGATAACGATTCGGACGAATGGTAGGTATTTGCATATGCTTTTTCTTGGGGTTCCATGTCATGTCTCAAAGAATGCAAGTCGGAAGACAAGACGCGTCCTCGCGTGGACATGGCATGGCATGGCGAGATAAGGCCTGCATCATCATCAGGCGTTGAGACTGGCGGCCATGTACCGAAGCTACTACGACTGTACTAGCCTGAGCAGCTCCTAGCTGCAAGCCAAGCTGCTCACCTACGATAAGCTGATCGTCCGTGGTCAAATATCCAACATGCCATTGGTCAGGGGTGCCGGGTGTACCAGGTGTGACGGGCTGCAGCAGGGCGATCAGACAAGAGCCGCGATAAGGGACAAGGCTACTGCGATCCCCGAGCCGCTTTAAGGTGGCTTTTGTCCAGGGGCATTGACTAGCACCCAGTCGGTTGAGAGATAAGGCCGTGGTGGTGTTTGGAGCGTTGAAATGTGAATCTCCGCGGAGCGAAAGGGTGGCGGGGTAGTGCCATATATATAGTATAGATTGGAGTCTCAGCGATAAAGGGCGAACAGGCTTTGGGACCAACGGAGATAAGAAAGTGGTTCGAACTCGGAAACGACCTGATTGCTGAGCCAAAACTCAAAGGATTGTACCAGATACGGCAAGGCGCTAGGGAATTATCCTATCTCTTCGCGGGCGTTCTGATGCGGTGGTGTCGTGTCAAGATTTGGGGGCTCCGGATCGTCGGTACTGGCTGTACAACACCAGGGATTGTTCATGAGAAATGACCTTTAGAAGACTTTTTAATCTCCCCGAATCTTCCTAGATAGGCTGTTCAACGGCCCCATTGCTGATAACAAGATACAATAACTGGTGATTAATACCATGCTTCTCAATGATCATAAGAGCCTTCAAAAGGTACATAAGCACTTGCTTCTGCGCCCATTCATCAGGTTCTCCAAAATCTCTGTGGAATGTTCAGCGCAGTACAAAAAGACCTCGAATGTCCCGAATCCTGAGTAACTCAGCGACTATCGAAAGCCTTTCGGCCTTTCAGCCACTGGGCGTTTCCGCGCAACCACTAAAAGCGCTGGAAAGCGACATTGAGTTCAGGGATCTGAGCCTTGGGACCTTCTGTGTCGTTCGCTTGGACATCTTGGAACCAACATATTTCTTTAGCGGTTTTTCGTTGTCGATTCTTGTTCTTCTTTTTTCTGGAAGCAATGGATATTAAAAGCTGTCACCGTTAGCACGGCGATAATTGGTTTCCACTGTAAATTGTCGATGTTGTCAGTGGAACTAATTGAGCGTTTAAACAAGCGCCGAAATCGGCAGAGGCAGAAGCCAGAATCTTCAACTCGAATATGGACGAATTACTTATTTTCCGCTGCACACTTACAATGGGTTCGGTACGGAATATTCTACTTCATCTCTCGATTGAGGCTCAGTGGTCTTTTGGGTATAACAATTCTTGATTCACTGAGTATTGGGATAAATCTTGAGTCTCTAGCATTGGATTCCTCTGTGATTCTCACTGCTGTAACATCATCTCGCTAAACCGTATGCAGTAAGAGGGGCACTGTAAATGCTCGACTCTGACTGGATGACAGAAGGGTCTGAATTTTTTTGCGCAAACATTTTTCCTTCAAGATGCCCCTCCACTCAGAGTTTTGTTTTCTTTGGTGGGGGACAATTGCTTGTGATTATTTGTTCTTCTTTCTCCTCAAACTTCCAGCTTCTGGTCAAAGTTGAATCAAACCCGTTTTCCTTAAGGTATGTGACCTTTCTGGGATGTGTTAGGTTCTTCATCACGTGCCAAAAGTTTCCTCTGACGGCATCATGCTTCTCCCCCCCTCACCCAAAAAAAATGCTGGTAGTACGGCTCATAGCCAGATTAGTGTGGGGATCTTCTCGGTGTGTTTGTTCACCTTGGGTGGACTTCACATAAGAAGAGAACAGAAGAGAAGACACAAGATTGAGAAACAACACATGTGACTGACTATGAGATCTCAGATAATAACCTGCTTCCGCAGTCTGAGAACATTTGCAATGGCTACCTCAACCGTCCCCAAGACCTGCAAGGTCATCACTGCTGAGACTATCGCCAAGGGTTACCTTGGTGAGGTCAAGGACACACTGGCCAAGATCCAAGGCGAGAACCCTTGCACGCCCACACTGGCTGCTTTCCTCGCCAACGGTGATCCCGCTGCTGTCAAGTACGCTGAGTGGTCCAAGAAGACTTGTGAAGAGAAGTGAGATATTCCTCTGCGTGGCTTAAATATCGCCCAGTCTATCGGGTGATGCTTGCCCCTCGACCTGGCGCTAATGTAAAACACAGCGGATTCAACTTTGACCTCCGAACTGTGGACAAGGAGCTCCTCGAGGAGGAGATAATGAAGGCCAATGAAGATGACAACGTCGACGGCATGATTGTCTACTACCCTATCTTCCCCAACAACCCCTCTCACGACAAGTACATCCAGGAGTCTGTTGACCTTGGAAAGGACGTTGAGGGTCTTCGACACAAGCACATCCATAACATGTACCACAACATTCGCTTCATTGACCCTCCTGAGAACCGCAAGAAGTCCATCCTTCCTTGCACTCCCCTCGCTGTTGTCAAGATCCTCGAGTACCTGCAGATTTACAACCCCATCCTGGCTTCCGGAAACCGACTTTTCGGAAAGACTATCACTGTCATTAACAGATCCGAGGTCAATGGCCGACCTCTTGCGGCCCTCCTCGCCAACGATGGCGCCACCGTTTACTCAGTCGACGTCACTGGTGTCCAGATCTTCACCCGAGGAGAGGGTATCAAGAAGGCCCGCCACCAGGTCGAGGATAAGGAGGGCTGGAAGCTCGAGGACTGCCTTCCTCTCAGTGACGTTGTCATTGGAGGAGTTCCCGTCGAGTCTTTCAAGGTACCCACCGAGCTCATCCGTGACGGTGCTGTCTGCATCAACTTCTCCTCGTACAGGAACTTTGATGGTCCCGCCATAAAGGAGAAGGCCTCCATCTACGTGCCATCCGTCGGCAAGGTTACCATTGCTATCCTCTTGAGAAACTTGGTTGTAAGTGCCCTCCACCATATGACAAAGTTTGTGATACTGACCAGTTAGCGCCTCATTGCCAACCGACCCTCCAAGGATGAGTCGCAGAAGAGCGTCGAAGCCCGAGCTGAGGCTTTCGCTGACGACTAAGTGCTTTCACACCCTAAAGAAAAGAGATTTTGAAAGAAGGTTATTATTGCTTTGAACTAGATTATGGAAAACGAAACATGACGGGGCCGGTCGTCCTGTGAAAAGGGAATGCATTTTATAGGAGTTGTCATAGATGGGATATATCAAAAAAGCTGGGATGACGGCATGATTGGGAAGACATGTTGAACATAAAAGCTTGCGTGAATGTCGTGAGCGTGTGTGGCGTTGTGTCACGAACCAGTAAAATATTGAAAGATGGGCTAGCTGATGGGTTGACAGTCTAGGGGGTAAGGAAAAACAGCGGAAGGCCGTGGGTGGGAGATCAGCGATTTTTGGTGTAAGCCATTCCGTTGTTTTTCCTTACCATGAGGGACAGTTCATCATATGATCTACTTTTGGTATTTCTGTGTTACAATCCGGGCCATGTAAGTGTCGCTCATCTCCATAGGCTTTGGAAGGCGTCAATTATTGAAGAACTGCAGTTCAGGGCGTCGCCATGGTCTTTGGTTGGTTGGTCGATCTTTTATACAACATGGAGTGTACGACGTTGCTGCATCTACACAGATTTCCCCCTGAGACTCCGCTTGAGGGAAATGTCGCTTCAAAGCATTGAAGTATTATTGCTCTGTTTATTATTGACTTGAATGTCTTGTTAGTCTGCTGTCATGAATGAAACAGGTGGCTTAATATCCTGGGGTAGCAAAGTTTAATTAAGATGTTCTCTACGTGTTCTGGAAACTTTCCTAATTAGGCACATCACAGCTGAAGCGGTGGGTTGAGCTGGTGCCCCTATCTTCATTGAGTCCTTGCGTCTTCCAGGTTTCTTGATCCTTAATCCTGGCCTATAACGGGAATGGAAATTACTTGGTGCAACATATTGATCAACTTAGTTTTTCCATAGTACCGGAGTATACAACCTAATTGGAGGATAGACCACATATCGTCATGTACTATTGCAGGTATTCTCGTATCCCTTTCTTTTCAGGAGGACAACATGCAGTGGTAGTTGTGTATTGCGTATGGTCTTTAGACTTTTATTGCAGATCTCTGTACTACGTAAAACCCTTGGGCCTCTTATTGTTCATTGTTGTTCTTTTCTCTACGCGCGGCGTCACGAACCATTATTTCAATCTTTGGTTTACTGCATTTTGGCTAGCACCAATCAAAGTCTCAGGATGGGACTAGAGCAAAACTAAACGCCTCAAACAAGCAGCAAAACAAGGCGGGTTCCCCCATATTTCCCGTTTTGCTCAACGGCCTAGTGGTCATTTTTCGGGTCAGTCCCTTGATTTAGTAGCGGTTCACTGCATCTAAAACTGGGCGCCGACGCCAAAGATTGAAGAGTGCATTCCAAGGTTTTGTTCGTCATTGTTGAGGTGATAAACTGCGCAATTGAGTTTCTGTTGATCACCTGAAGTCAACTGCGTCTTTTTAAAGTCATCATAAACAAGTATCATTGTGCTTGATCTCTATATTCCATCATTATTTCTTATAAGCATCCATTGTTAAGCTGTGGAGTTCAAATAGGTCTTAAGAGGTCCGGGCATCTGCAGGTTCAATTAAAAGGGTACGTACCTCGCTCGATCGCGGTTCGTTCAATTAATGGACGGAACCCCAACATCCATCACCACCTATCAGTCGCTCTTTCCGTCCATCCATTGCTTTTTTCCACATCCCAACTTTTGGATGCTCTCCTCATTCATTTCTCATGCCTAATTAGGTTTCTGGCTGACTGCGCCCTTTGCGAATAGAACCTTGCTCTTCGCTCTGCTCGGCTCTATCTACTAAATCGACAACACGTTCATTCATTCGCTCCTTACTCGCTCGACTACGTCTTTTCTCTGTCTGATCGGCATCTCTACCTAATTTTTTGCGCCACGCTACTCTTCTTTTCGACTTGCAAACTCTCAGCCCTCGAGACATTGTCTCTAATTCTATCGAATCACGGACTGCGCACTCTCATATAAACAGTGAAACACAACAAAGCCTCCTACAAACCGACTCGCGTGCGCAACCGAGCTGAGACCGATACATAAGGGCATATCCAGGCACCGTGTCCTAAAAATCAGCCGGTAGCTTCTTCGGCGCGCTGCGAGACAAGACATAATACTACCGACTGGACACTCTCCACACCGAGTAACTCGACTGCCTCGCCCCTGGTATCAGCCAACCCCGGTATAGAAATCATGGCAGCGCAGACCTTCCCTAACTACAGTCGCGATGTCCGCCATGGCAAGTCTGGCTCGGGTTCTTCACTGAACTACGGGCCAGTCCCTGGTTCACCGACACTTACGAACCCCGACATGATCTTGCCCGACTACGATTGCGATGTTTCCCTTGATGAGCGTTCACAGTCACCCATAAGGATATGGAATAATGTTCAGACCAATGACATGCGCTTCCACCTCCCTTCTTCGCAAAACCAATTTATCGCTGGACCAATCACCCCCTCAACGCCCATCATATATGGAAACGGAACTATGCTATCAGACATTGGCGAGGTAACAGAAGTTGAAAGCGTGGTAGGAAAAGGAGGACGTCGCGGTTCGGCGCATTTATCCGTTTACAGCAACGATGATCACGTATTGGGCTCATCCCCAACAATGGGGGTAACCCGCATCAAGTCGCGATCGCAAATTCTGCAGCGTGAGAGGAAATCTTCGATCGACTCCAACAGCACAATTACTTCGCAAGGCCGCGCTGCGCCTTTCGGAGATTTTGACGATTCTGTCAGCGTCGACGACGTCAACTTTCAGGGCGATGATGAGGAGAGCATGGCATCTTCATATGTTGAGGGTACAGCTGTACGAGAACCCAAGATTCCGCGTATAGCTCGTACTCAGGAGGCTACCGAGCAACGCTATTCAACCAGCTCTCTTAGTGATAGGGCAGAACAGATTCTGGCAAATGCGAAGCAAAGATTAACGGTAGGCTTCACATTGTCCAGCTAAATAATGAGTGCGCAACGCTGACAAGACTGCAGACGATGGAGGGCAACCTGTCAAGGGCAAGAAGCTCTTTATTTACTCCGATGTCCGATGGATCAACACCTTCTCCGCCAATTGTTCGACCTGCGACGTCCTTGAGGGAGTCTACCATCCCTCTGAGTTCGAGTCAAGGGCACTCAAGAAATCTCAGCGAAACTAGTTCACAAAATGGCCTTGCTAGCCCAGGCTTCCCGCAACGCTCTGCTAGCGCCTTGGGTGCTGCTGGAGGTTATCGTCAGCCATTGACTTCTTCCAGAAGTGCCGATGCTCTCGGGATTGGATACGGCGCCACGCCTCACAGGAGTCCCACGACTCTTGATCCGATGCTGGAAACTTTGAGTGAAGATGAAGGCGGTGCAAATGGAGACAGTCGACGCAGCTCTCATCTCTATAACCAGTTGAGCCCCACGTTTGGTTCCATGACGGATACAGACATGCCTCGGTCCGCATCTGTTGCTCAGGTCCGTGACTTGAAGCATCAGATGAAGGATCTGAGAGGAAAGATTTCCAGTCTCAAAGAGCAAGCTCGGGCTGACAGCTTGAAACGCCGTAGTCTGCAGAGCCTTAGGACACCCAGCCCCTTTACTCACGCGAGATGGGATCAAGGACTTCCAGAGTCTCGAACATCACAAGAGACTACTCCGGAGACTCCCGCTTGGCAAGCGCCTTGGAACCAGGGGTCGCCCAAGGACAAAGTAAACGATCAAACTTCACCTAAGGAGGGCTCGAACGAACCCTCTGAAGAATCTGCGAAGACGTTAGATGCTGGAGCTGAACATGGCCCTCGCACTCCCGACGCGCCGGACGTGGTTGTGGCTCAAGAGCAGAGGGTTTCGCGGCAACTTGATGCGGAACCTGATCTTGAGGATGACATTCAAGTGCAAACGCAAGTGCAAGAAAATGACGACATGAATGATGACGGCGAAACGTGGGAGGGAGATCTGGAACAAGAGGAGGAAGAGATTAAGCAGGAGGAAAATGGTTACGGACTACAGAATGGAGAGTACAACAACGATGTCGAGGATGACGACGACGACGAGTTTGTGGATTTTGAGAGCGAGAGTGGCGAGTCATCATACCATGATGCCTTCCAAACCCCCGTGTCCCACGAGGACCGTGAGGATGCATTCGATTACGAGCACTTTTTCCTTCACTCGGCAATGGGAACAATGAGCCAACATCGACGAGAGAGCTGGAGCAGTGTGAGCTCTGGTGATTCTGTCGAGACAACCCGCGGCCCTATCGTCGCCCCCGCTCCTGCACCTGATTCTGACTCTGACCACGAAAGGAGACCGAGCGTTGATACCATGTCGTCCTTTAACAGTTTCGCCACGGCCACCGAAGGTCGTTCGAGCCGGAACTCGGATTTCGAGGATGCCACAGAGACTATAGCCATCATGCCAGGCGATTCGGACGCGCCTCTGAGCTCGAAACGGGCAACATTTGGTAACTTCAAGTTCCCTCGATCAGGGGCCCCTTCGAGAAACGGCTCCGTCGATTATCACCAAAGCCATCCCCGGCGCAACACCGTGGTTCGTCGACCTAGCAGCAGCGCAGCTACCTACGCACGCCATCGACCTTCGATGTCATCTTTCGGGTCGACAGGAACAAACCGAAGCTTCCCTCTCGTAGACAAGTCTAAGGGAACCAACGGAATCTTGACACCGACAGGTACACCCGGGGGATCACCCGACTCAGAGCTCAGGCAGATATCCGAAAGTCTCCTTAATGAAGCAGCCGGGTTGGGCGGTATTGAAAATGGACAGAAGAGCGGGAATACTTCCGCTGTACAAGGGCTTGACAAAGAAAGTCAGATCTTGGTCGAAAGACTTGTGGCCAGTCTTGGGAAGTGTGTCTTAGGATTGACAGAATCATCGAGAGCTGGCACAGAGGCACGCATGTACCGCAGGAGAATTGATACTGCGCGACGCATTCTTGAGGGCCTTGAAGAGTGAGTATAATTGTTCGAATACTTTTACCAGGCAAAGTATGTCAAAGAGGTGGTATTTTTCTTGCATGGCGCTTTACATGGAGGTGGATAAGGATATTATCACACATGATGATGCTCTGGTTTTGAGCAGATGGAGTTGAGACCTGTCTTGGATGAGACCAGGTTATTTTCGATACCCTTCAAGTCTAGCGATTTTCTTCCTTATTTATTCTTAAACTTATGACCTTTACAGGACTTTTTTTTATATCTTCAATCACGACATATTTCTCTTTTCAATTCATTGCTGTCTATAGTTTGCTCGCGTGCTGTTTGCACATGTTGGTCCGTGCTGTGACCCTTTGACCCTTGGAGATCGTTCGCTAAAATTGCACCATTTTGCATGTGATAGAGTCAGATCAGTTTAGAAGCTGGTACGGAGTAGGTAAGGTAATGAATGTGAACGAGTAGGCCACAGACTATTGAATATTATCTTATGGTTGATAAAGCTCATTTCCATTCACTTAAGACGTACTAGAAAGTCATTGTAACCTTAATCATATCGATGTCTTACAAATGTCCTCAACGCCTATGCTGATATATTATGAAAGTATACTTCCAGAGCACATACTCTCACTATGAGATTAGATCGAACCGTCCTATGAAGAACAATCTAATAAATATTCACAATATGACAACATAGCCATCAAAAAAATACATAACCTTCAGGCCACTTCATGTAACCGGGTCACACTCCAGTAAACAAAGGGGGTAAGTAGTAGGAAATGCTTACCTGAGCTAGGTATCTTAGACCGCAACTTTTCCTTCACAACTACCCTGGACGCTCGCACAGAAAAGCCACGAAACAACATTTCCCCCTCCAGCATCAACAAAATCAACCTCAAACCTTACACTGACAGAATTTCCATCACAAACTATCGTCGAAATGCCCTCCGTGGAACCTCCAACGCTGGCAACGCACCTCCTTACAGCGCTTCTCCCCCCGGAGCTCGCCGCTTCTATCCAAAAACACATCCTGCACCCACGCTCGCCCGTCCAAATCATCGCGCGCAACGTCCTCGATCAAGCGCAGAATCTTCTCGACACGGCCGCGCCTCTTCTCGAGCCGCTATTTAATCGCGTCATGATCGTACTCGCGGAAAACCAAGGCCTCGTCGGCGTGATCGCATCGCTGGTTGTACTCGCCACTGTTGTTATAATCCTTAATTGGATTCGTCGTCTGCTTATGTGGTGGACGCGCATGGCTATGCGCATCGCGACTTGGGCTTTACTACTTGCTCTTACAGCGTGGATCTGGGAGCGCGGCGTCTTTGAGAGTGCAAGGGACATGGCTGTCATGGGCGGCAAGATCGTGGGATACCTGGCCGTTATCAAGGATGTTTGGCTGCAGGAGTATGATCGCTACGAGGCGCAACAGGGCATGACCGGAACCAGAGGCACGGCTTCTGGACGCCGATCGAGATAAGCAACGTCCATACAGAACAATCTATGCGGACGGCAAATATGCAGCAATCGCTGTTTTGCATATGACACGACATGAAAGATGGAATACGTCAAGGAAAGCACCAAAAACAGAGCATGGACATATCATGACTACAACAACACATCACACCCATCAGCATTGGTATTATGATTATCACGAAAGAGGTGGAAAGGGGCGAGTTAGGAAAAAGAGCGAGACTGTGATAAATCACGTCTAAACTCAATTCAATCTCAGACCATGAGAAACAATCAGTAACGCCGGCGCTATGCAATACTACTATCAAGATACCACAGATTCCCTTTTCCTCAGATTCTCCCTTTGCCATTATATCCACACTAATCGTCATGATCCTCATATTCCTCATCATGGGGCTCTTTGGGATCCTGAGCTTCGTGGAACTGTATGCAGTCGTCAATGTAGCTTAGGATAGCACCGACGCTGTCCTCGTTGGTCACGTCTAGCCTGAGATAGTTGATCATACTGAAGCTCTCGATCAAGCCAGCCACAGCTCGGTTCAGTCGTCGGAAACTAGCACCCTTCATCACTTGTTCCTTCTCGTCAGGTGCCTTTGACTCGTCGTCTTCGGCTTCGGGACCCTCTGTAACACGACGCGCACGCTCAATGGGGTCATCGTCGAGCAGACCCACGTCAGGTGTGAGGAAGCGCTTGAGATCCTTCTTCTTCACTTGGCCCTTTACGAGATCCATCTTGGACAGAATGTTAATGTGTGGCACCTCGAGCATGAGCATGGCACTCATGGCACTAAGGGTACCAGAGAAAAACTTGGCCCGATCGACGACGAATGTGGCTTCGAGGAGATAGACAGCGGCCATGCGGATGTCAAGAGAGCCCGGCTGGGACAGAAATTTGACCAGAGCTGGTAGAATAGGCACGTGTGTGTATAACTCGATCTGGCCAGGCATGTCGAAGATAATGAGATATTCCTCGGTCAGACTGTCGAGAGCTTCGGTCAACCAGTCGAGGTTCTCCATGAGGAACTCAAAGCAATAGATAAGGCCACCGTTAGGTCCGAGGCCAACTTCTTCCATAGCATCTTTGAGAGAAATAAGTTCTTTGATGTCGAGATCTGGTTCATGCTCAAATGATTCGGCGGCAGGGTCAAGGTTGATGTAAAAGGCAGAACGGCGATTAAGGTTAAGATGGGTGATGAGGGCGGCGCAGAAAGTTGACTAGATGCGAAAGAATGCAGAGTTAGTTGGGGCGCATTGATGAATGTCGGGAACAAAATATCAAGCACGCGATCCAGGGCAGCATGATGAGAACGATGATGCAACAAGAGGCGGTATCGCAGAACAGAAGCTAAAGCAAAGGACAATTCCACGTACCTTGCCCGCGCCTGCAGGGCCCATGATCATGGCACCGAACTTGCTCATGTTGAAGATGCGAAGATAAATGTGGTGTTTGCTTTGTTTGTCAAGTTGACAAGGGCCTCGATTCGATTTGATAGCTCCAAAGGTCGAAGCTAGGTAGGTAGCTACTCTAAGCAGCCCCGCTTGCTTTGAGATAGAGGGGCCGATCTAGTAGAATAGTATGACAGAAAGTGATAGCTCTGCACTGTATAGCCAAGGTTCAACGTCGGTTATTTCTCGTTGGTTGGATATCGATGAGGGTTACACTTCTCGATATGGTGATGGTGACGAGCTTGTGAAAGGTAGTGAAATTTTGACATGTTCTGGAAGGGAACTTGAAGGGTGGGGTAAAAGTTCGGATTTTTTCACACCTTCTTTTCCTCGCCGTTTTTGCCCCTCCTGCTCCGGCGCCATAAAAAAAAAAGTCGTTTCTCAGCCTCTTTTCTCTTTTGGCCTCTCGTGTGAAGCTATCTGCCCCGCCATTACTGTACATGTACTAGGTTATCATGCCTAGACTCGGGGCCATCATGATAACCTTTTCACGTTGGTAGAGGCACTCTTTCATCGACATCCACTCAACGATCTTCTCCAGATGCTGGTGCACGTGTATGAAAATCAGTCAGGGAATTGGTCAAGGATTATTCTTGGAAGGATTGCGGCTGATAGGTTCGGCAACTCATGGCCCATTGTTCCTTCAACCGGATATCCTAACTTAGATGAGGGGATTGACGGGAAGCGGGGAGACGAGTACGAGTAAGGAACGGATTGCAACTGCATTGATGAGCTCGGGTTAGCGAGAGGGTGCAAGAAAAGCGAGATTAACATGTAGAGTTAAGATCTCAACCACTCAATCTATGAGGACACTCTGCTCAGACTTAGGACTACCTAGGTAAAGCTTAGGAATATATTTCATGAATCAATCATAAAGAAAAAGGGTATTCTATAATGTCAACACTCCCGGGTCGAGAAGGACATCTGTTTTCTTGTATTCCGAACACTGGCAGGCTGACACTGTCTGCAACTGACGGCAGGTGCGATGGCGCAATACTGCCGCAAATTTCGGCTTCCGAAGAACGTGCCTTTTCTCTCTTTCCAAGTGTCATTTACCCCTCCATTGCCAAGGGTAGCGGCCACCGAAAGCCTACCCTCCGCGATAAGCTGTGTACCTGTGTTTCACGCTATTTCCCCATACTAACCCAGGTACCCTCTTATGACTTCGGACCCTGTAGATTTGGACAATCGCGACCGAGGGCCGTTCAACAGAAAAAAACGAGCAGGCACTATTTTTTTGTCGATCCCCACCTTTTCATTGAGAAGCCATTGTACTGTGGCATTGGGCACTATTCAATAGGTACATTGAGATTGTAGTCACATAGGCGTCAACCGAGTCATTGCACAAGTCTCGAGTAAGCTCATCCTGGTGGTTGTCTACAAAGTCTGGAAGAAAGGACGAAAGAAAAAACTGCCCGAGCTAAGGTACCTACATAAATCTCTCCGACCTTTTGGTAAGGAAAATTCCCACCCCCCACTTCGTTCATAATAAAGCCTGCAAACAACGTATTCGCACATCCCCCTCCTTCCCGCCTTTTTCTTTAAGGTACTACTACCTCCCGCTCCCGCTTCGAATCTTTTTCTGCTTTTCCCTTCTTCATCCTCTTTCTATTTCCTCCCTTCTCCAGCGCCTTCTTTCTCTGGTATGTCCTTGTTCCAATTGCTCTCCATTGTCGGGTTATTCTAACAATCAGCTTTTTCAGTGACCTCATCTCCATCGTCACCAAATAAACAGACTTGTCCGCGTCTGTCCAGCTTTAGCCGTCGCCTCTTTCTCTCACATCCTTCTCTTCATTCACCTAAATCCTCACAATGTCTGCTACCAACGGCACCAACGGCGTTCACGCCGAGCTCTCCTCATGGAAGCACTACAACGAGGGTTCTTTCCTCTTCACCGTAGGTCCCTCCTGAGCCCGCCATTGCGCAAGCCACATCTGAGCGATTCCTTATCGGATCTATCAATGTGACCTTGTACCGAGGTCTTATTATCCCGCAGTCCAGTCACTGACAACCAACCAGTCCGAGTCCGTCGGTGAGGGCCACCCCGACAAGATCGCTGATCAGGTTTCCGACGCTATCCTCGATGCCTGCCTCAGGGAGGATCCCCTCTCCAAGGTTGCTTGCGAGACTGCCACCAAGACTGGTATGATCATGGTCTTCGGTGAGATCACCACCCAGGCCAAGCTCGACTACCAGAAGGTCGTCCGTGATGCCATCAAGGACATCGGCTATGATGACTCCGCTAAGGGTTTTGACTACAAGACCTGCAACTTGCTCGTCGCCATTGAGCAGCAGTCTCCCGATATCGCTCAGGGTCTTCACTACGAGAAGGCTCTCGAGCAGCTCGGTGCTGGTGACCAGGGTATCATGTTCGGTTATGCCACTGACGAGACACCCGAGCTCTTCCCCCTCACTCTCCTCTTCGCCCACAAGCTTAACGCTGCCATGTCCGCTGCTCGCCGCGACGGTTCTCTCCCCTGGCTCCGACCCGACACTAAGACTCAGGTGACCATTGAGTACAAGCACGACAACGGTGCCGTTGTTCCCCAGCGTGTCCACACCGTTGTCGTCTCTGCTCAGCACTCTCCCGATATCTCAACTGAGGAGCTCCGCAAGGAGATCAAGGAGAAGATCATTAAGAAGGTCATCCCCGCTAAGTACCTCAGCGACGAGACCATCTACCACGTAAGTTTGACAAAACACAGCAAGGAACAAGCGGAAGTGCTAACTCTCCCTTCAGATCCAACCCTCTGGTCTCTTCATCATTGGTGGTCCCCAGGGTGACGCTGGTCTGACCGGCCGAAAGATCATCGTCGACACCTACGGTGGCTGGGGTGCCCACGGTGGTGGTGCTTTCTCCGGTAAGGATTTCTCCAAGGTCGATCGATCTGCTGCCTACGTCGGTCGATGGATTGCCAAGTCCCTCGTCAACGCCAAGCTCTGCCGACGTGCTCTTGTCCAGCTCTCCTACGCCATCGGTGTCGCTGAGCCTCTCTCCATCTACGTCGACTCCTACGGCACCTCCGAGAAGACCTCCGAGGAGCTTGTCCAGATCATCCGAGACAACTTCGACCTCCGACCTGGTGTCATTGTCCGCGAGCTCAACCTGGACCACCCCATCTACCTCCAGACTGCCAAGAACGGTCACTTCGGTACCAACCAGTCTTTCAGCTGGGAGCAGCCCAAGGAACTCAAGTTCTAAGTTGACCATTGACATTGTATCAAGTCACCAAAAGAGTATTCAACAGCTCTCTGCATGCATCTTGAAGATGTTTAATCAGTTCATTTGATTTAGCAAATATAGGCGGCGTACGGTTCTCAACGAAACCTGTGTATCTCCCACCGGAAGGGAGGACGGTCGGTTTCCGGCATTTGTTTTGTTTATAATTTCTATCCAAAAAGCCATTTCGGTTATACGGTAGTGGGGATTCTTTTGCGATATATACCAGGCACGGAGTGGGCGTCTTTCAACAAAGACATATTAGGGCAAACCTGCATTTGTGAGGCGAAGCAAAAAGGGTCAAAAGAGACTTGCATTTTAACGATACCACGACAAGGGAATGACAAAAAAGACGACGCATTCGTGTGAGAGCGGCGTTTTGACGAGGAAACAAAAGAACTTCAACATCTTTTTCTTTCCTGGATCTCTAGCCGAGCTGATGCAGTAGGCGGGCGAGACCATGGCGCGGTTGAAGGTTGGATGGATCATTGGCAAGAATGTCAATCTTGGAGATGATAAGGACCTGAAGTGAAGGGCTAGTGATAGATATGCCGTGTCGCTGCGAACTGAGACAGCAGCTAGACCAAGAAAGAAATCACGTCAAGGGAATACTTGTCCAATATCTGTTTGCTGTGAAGTCTGAGCTTTTCTGCTGAAGACATAGAGTAGGTCGCGTTGGTGTTGAATAGGTGTCATGATGCCCTTGGCCACAAACGGAAACCCGAAACTCTCATACACACGGGCAAGTTCCTTGGTTGGCCATGGTACTAGGGTAGCGCCACGAAGAACCCCCTCATCATGACAACCTATGAACTCTGCATAAACCGTTATCATATATATAACTTACTTATCATTGTTTGGTTTATTGTAATATCAAACCTCCCGTAATTAAACTGGAGTAACCACTGTGTTATAAAAGGTCTTGGTAACAGTAGATGTCCCTGGACACGATCGCTTCTTCCTGTTCGATATTACGGAGTTGCTTGAAGTGATGTCACCCTTCTCTCGAAATTACCCTTCTCTCGAAATTACCCTTCTCTCGAAAGGGATAACTACTGGCGATCTGCGGAGTCTGCAGGCTTTGAAGTACGAAATGACCATTTGTGGGTAAAACTTGGTGAGGCAGTGTATTAGCTCAGTAAGAATAGTGATTGATGAATAACTCGCTGCGCTATGACAGGTCCAAAAGTTCTAGGGACGAGACCGCTTGGAATCCGGCATATTACGGAACGTACCTGTGGCTTGCCGTGGTAATCAGTCACTGACCCCTCAAAAGAAAGTGTGGCAGGACTAGGTCTCAATAGGAGCATTCGTAGACTGGTATCGAATCTGATAAGTCGTTCGCAGATATAACACATCAGGGTCATCAAGACTAGGTATCTTATTTAACCACTCATCTAGTCACTATAGCATAGCATTTTACCAATCGTTGATATTAGTCACTCTAGGATAAGCATATCTAGGCGTATCTCTTATGATACTTTGCGCAATATATTGAATCTCCGAGTTCAGTTTAGCCGCTTCGAATAAGTAAATGGCGAAGGCCATTTCACTGGACGGTTCGGCGACTTGTTGTTGCCTCTGGCTAACAAGCTGCTCGTCGGACAGACCCGAGCCATCCAATGTGATGAGCCGTTCCAGAGAAAACGACGAATCTAGAGGTGTAAAACCACGATGGCAACATAGGTTCACAAGGGTCCCAGCCTCCACCATTCGCTTGCATCGTAAAGCGAACTGGGCGAATGCCGATGCCCCGTGCCGCAAAATGTGTTGCCAAGTCTGGACCCCTTGGACTCGTTTGGATAACGTTGGATACATTGCTTGAGGCTGCGCTGCGCTCATTCCAACGGCAGCGTATCAGTAAGGCTGAAAGGTAGATGTCTGGGCTTGAAATATGAACAGGAAAACAGACAACTGGCCGCCTGGAACTTTGGCCCAGTGAACATGTAGTGCGTCATGGGTTGCCTTTTAATGGAGTTCACCACAACCGGAAACGAGACAGGCCCTGCTTTCCACGAGAGAAAAGGCGTGCCCTAGATCCTCGAAATCTGGAAAGGATCTTCCTTGCGGGAATCATTAATTTGTACCATTCCCGCCCGCAGTTGATGCTTGTGCAAAGAGTTCTCAAAGCCGAACGGCACCTCTCCAACTCATTGTGTAAACGTGTTTCACATGGGGTGGGAGCTGTCGAATCTTCCGATATAGGAGTAAAGGATGAAGTAGCCTATTCGACTTCCAGATATCCCTGCATTATTAGAGCTCATACGATCCTTGTGAGCCCCTCAAGTTAAGATCCAACGTTGTATTGGGGACACAAGGGGAGTCTATGCACATGTTGGTCTTGTGATGGAAAACACCAGCAGAGTCACTCTTGATTTGGCGAAGAAGAGCATGGACGAATGGGTATCAAGAAACGAAAAAAGGACGAAGATGCTTCCCGTGAAAGCATTCTCGGTGAGAAACGAGACAACTCGCCTCCTCAAAGATGGCGCAAGACCACGGCAAGTGTCAGCATGTTGGTGGATGACACTATCTGAAAGCGAGACCAGCGAGTGACACCCTGGTGACTTTTTGGCTGCATTTGTCGCGATATCAAGAACACTGGTTTATGCTCTGTGTACTGTTACTACTGGAACGGCGCAGTGAGCTTGGCACTGACCAGCTGGTTTTGCATCTTTTGATGACCCGAACCCGGTGGCCACACGATCACGATATAGATGTGTGTGCATGAGGTGGTACACAGGAATACTTGGTACCGATTAGACCAGGGAGGCTGCAACTAATACCCGTGATCCCAAGAGGCAGTCAGAGGATCTGTGTTCCATGGGCGCTCAACGAGTACCAGCAAGTTGACCTATGCATGTGAACATATGGAGGGTTACTCCAGAACAGGCAATTGGAAGAACAAACTTGTCCCGTACATTGAGGAATCTTCTCCAGCATGCAAAAGCCCTCCGGCTCATGCTCCGACGCATTTATGATCATGGCTTATACCCAAGTCGTTGGGGGAGGAACACGCGACTTGCCATAAACTTTCCAACACAGCCTGAGGTGATATGATCGAACCACCTCAAGAGCAAAAAGGAGCGGGCATCAAGATTAAGAACATGACATGACTATGAGACATATTCAAACGTCTCGAGTTGTTTGTTTGGTGGCTTACAGGCCCAGTCCTTTGGCTCGAAAACTCAGATGTGCCGTTGAGCAAGTTTAGGGTATTTCCTTTCCCGAGCTGAAAGACTTGCTCAAACTACTTCAATTGGAGGGGCGTGTAGTCTTCATTATCCCGAGCGGTATGATTAAACGTGGGAGGGACTACCAACAGACCGAAGGCATTGTTCTTTGGCAAAGGGTGTACCATCAGAAGCGGATGGTATGTCACAACTGTGAGTGTGAGAGGAGTAGGATTCTCGTCTCATCATCCGCAGATCTTTGTTTGTTTGAGACATAAAGTGTGCGAATAAGACTGGACGGTGGAGGCAGCCTGATCAGCCAACGATGTCGGCACTTACCGACGAAAGGCTATGCTGAAGCCGACGTCGGGCCAGGAGTACCAGGAGTGAGATAACCAGCCAACTGGACCTCTAGGATCAAGAATGTGAACAGGCGAAACGGCGTTTTCTTAGTCCCTTTAGTTGTTCCAGATGGAGACATTGTAGCCCCTGCACTACAGGCTTATACCCACAACATCAATAGCCACCTGTGGATATTGAGTGAAATGTAATGAAGCCCAGAACCGCTAGTATACTCTGCATTACAATGTGTAGAGAACCAGCAGACCGGATGAGAAGAGGCTCGTCCCGGGTACGCCATTATAGCGTAGTCACTCCGCTGGTATTCTGGGCTTGGTCGCTGAAGGTTCAGGCAGCACAGAAAGCGAAAATTGGGGCCCGGGGCCCAAGCTTGAATAGACTGCAGAACCGAGGAGATGGTTTGGCAGTCAGCAGGCTGCTTCGCTTAAACTGATTCTGGCTCTGCAGGAGGTGCGGACGCAAGATATGACGCCGCGGACCTGGTAGGCGTTGGTGACCAGAGCTTGGGCCTTTGTTTGTTTGTTGGGAAATTCAACGAACAGGGTTTCCTTCGGCGAATTATACAGAGTGTGAGTGGACAATATGATATTGTTTGCCGGTAAGGAGGTGGTGTGTTGTGGTTCCGTCTAGACTGTCTGAACGGTGTAAGTTCCGGAGATGCATCACGGCAGGGACCATGGATGGTTGTGACCGTTTGGATCATGCTTTTGTCAGCCCAAGAAAGAAAGTTGTAAGGAGGACGTATCTATTTTCCATTGTCGACTGCCATGGGTACATTTGTGTTGGCTGAGGTGTACAGAATCAAGTTTGAGTGTTTGAAAGTTGGAGGGAGAATGAGACTGTGGAGGTTGCGGAAGGCGGCAGGAGTCCGTAAATGTGGACCTGGGCCACGGGCGCTAAACCCGAAGTGAGCCTCAATAGGAAGCGAATAGGCGGCAGATGTCACCCGTGGTCGATGCCTCGATTCAGCCCATTCAGTCGGGACTGCGGGCTGACAGGGGGTTTTACGGGGGCTATTCGACAACAATACCAAGCGTGTCTGGGGACAATAGGAAGCAACAAGCCGCCAAGCCACGCCCCGAAAGCCACCTTCACGCCTTCCGCTTTTGCATCGGCCAACCACATCCTCCTTCTGTGGACGCTTTTCCACCGTCGGTTGTTACTGATTGATGCTCTAAAATTTAGAGTCAGTGCCTTAACTGTACTGAGGTTGGTGGTAATGACTTTGTCTCTAAAATGTGCTGATCATGAAGAAAGGTGATACAACAAACGATCATCAGTTTATAAGCAAGTATCTACTAGGTTCCAACCTTGATGGTCTCTTCAATCAATGCGTATCCTGTTGGACTATTCTTGCTGTGGCTGTTGTTGATCTCCGAAACCTTGCGTTGAATACACATCAATATCATATGACAAAGGCTGAGTTTTTGTCTCAAAAGTTCTTTTGATTCTATTAGTGAAAAATGATACCTGCATATAACCGTTTGGACTCATGCATCTGACAACCCCAGAAGCAACGAGAACGAAATGAATATGTAACCATCCAACTACTTCAACAGGCAATAAGATCCGCCAACAAGAACAAGCGAGACTTGATAATACACTCATTGTACCCTGATACACGCTTTGACGTGACAACTTTGCCCTATCCGGTGCTAGAACCCATCCCATTCCACGGTGATGGTATTCAGTGGTGGGTGGTCATCGCGTTGGTTTCAGCCTTTTTTTTTTTGGCGGTTGTGGAGGGGGCGTAGAGTCGGACGAGAGAGATCAACAATACCCGTTTGAATAAGTCCGAAATCCTTCACGAGAGCATGTCTTGTGCACAATACAATGCAGACATTGAACCCGGCCTGACGGACGTTAGTTTCGGCTGAGGCTGCAAGCCTTTTCTTAGCTTGGCCACGCCATGGCACACGACATTATGTTAGCCAACCTCTTACGCTTGTGGCATATCGTGTTGTGTTAATGTTGGTGGCTTATGTTTTGGACTGAATCAGCAAAATAGGAGTCTGCCTGAGTGCTGTAGGATCCATTTATCCTCCCGTACCTATTATTGTACCCTATTGTGGTTGCGAATGAAATGATGGCTTACAAAGTCTCAGCTTGAGATCCATGCATGTCATTTTCCCCTACACCCCCTTCTCCCGTGCGGGTAGATGGGATTCTTCTACAAATCTTGTTTGCTGTTGATTTCATGTACTTCTCCCTCATGTTGCAGATATCTCCCAACGTGGCTCCAAGTAGACAATCAATCAGGTGCTGAATAGGCTCTATTCTCCCAGTGTTAGTGTTGTATTGTCCAGCACTCCAAGACCACAACATGAGGAAACTTGCTCGTTTCCCCTTTTTCTTGTTCTCCCTTCAGCCCAACTATATCTAGATACCGTTCCCGCTTCCTTTCCGGAAAACCTTTCTCTAAACCTGTTAACTCTATCTAGAAGTCACTTCATTCTCGCGTCACCTCAACCCTAGCAAGTCAGAGACAGCACTATCACACGTGGCGCATAGCTCTCGACCACCACCTCGCCCCCTGGTCTTACCTATTGTGTCGAGGACAAGTTCTTGTCTTTCCCGTTATTAACGGCAATTCTATCGTTGAGAATCCTTTATATACGGCTGACCTGTCGCCCTGGACTTCTTCTCCTGCATCAACAACAAGATCTCAGTCCACCAACAGCAAGACATCTTTCCAGTGACAACATTTTACTCCACTCACTTCTTCTTGAGAGAGTATCAATACCGAGCGCACAAATATATCTTCCCTTCAACAATCATGGACTCTCCCAACAACACTTCTCAATCTCAGGATCCCCAAGTCGATGTCCCTAAAGAGAACAGCCCTCCTCCAGCCTACACACCACGAAGAGTCCCCGTCACTGATTTCACTGCCATGATGGCCAGAATTATTCAAGAGAGGCGGGACGCTCTCCCCAACATGGGTGGAAATATCCCGCGCCCTCAGCCTCAACAAACCACCTGCACTTCCATGCTTTCTGATGCTGTAGATGATGATCAAGACGAGACATCCGAGGGAAGCTCACCCATCAGCCTCAAGATTGACACATCTATCAATGTTTCACGAAACAACAACATCGTGTGCCTGACGACCACTCCTGCGGAACAGGCCAATGCCATCGCCAAAGCCGTCGTGCAAGCCTTGCATGAGGGAAGCTCTGGCCGATGCGGCATCCCAATGATTGACGAGTCCGGCTGCCCTCGACCCTTGAATATCCAGGTTGATGCAGGCATGAATGTTGAAGGCACAGGCAATGTCATCGGAAGCCGAGATGTTATTGGAGGGCTCATTCAGAAACGTGCTGGATCTTCACTTCGACATGACCTGGATGATGAGGAAGATTTGGCCCCTACTAAGAGACGACGAACAAGTCAGTAATTGGAGACTACCATGTCACATCTCCGGGAAATGTTAAATTGGGAGGTTATTGGTTAATCACAGGAAAACACTTCGCTGATTATTCCAGCGAACATGGTGAAGGTGTATTTAAGCGTTTCTCGTGGTCTATTTTACTTAGACTTCTCTATTGAGAAGTTGAAATG